AAATTGTCATGGTACAAAATAAGGGGGGGGGCCAACGACACGCACCTCCTAACTATTTATATATATATAACTATAATTTCCAATTCAATTGATCTCGACGAATATTCGTGGATTACTATTAAATTGTACCGTCGGCTTATTTAAGTAGACGTGAAAATCAAATAAATAAATAAATAAATAAATAAATAAATACAATTGAGTATTTTAACATAGATTTTTCATTTTGAATTGGTGTCTACCCCCTAAGATATCTCAAGGGAAAGCAGTACAAGACCGAAGAAGAGATTTCAACCGATATTTTCAACGTATGGGAGGACAAGAGTGCCGAATGGTTTGAGGGGGGAATTAAAGCATTGAAGCATCGTTATGAAAGTGTCATTCGTGTACATGGAGACTACTTTGAATAATAAATATACTCATTTAAAAATACAACGTGTCTTGCTATATCAGGCTTAAAACTTTTGCCTCCCCCTGTACACACAAGTTTTTTATTGCGTTCAAAATGTCGAATTTCGTTCCAACAAAAGATCATTTGCAGGAAGTTTTAATTTGTTTCTTCCATTTAAAGAAAAATGCAACTGAAGCACATCGTTTACTCACTGAAGCCTATCCTGACTATGCTGTAGACGTTAGAATGGTGGTGATTTCGATACAGAAGACAAAAAGCACCTGGGCACCCAAAAAAGTTTGAAGATGAAGAATTGGAGGTATTACTCGATCAAGATTCGTGCCAAACTCAAGAAGAACTTGCAAAATCATTAGGAATGACTCACCAAGCCATTTCAAAACGTTTAAAAGCATTAGGATTCATTCAAAAGCAAGGAAATTGGGTACCACATGAATTGAAACCAAGAGACGTTGAAAGACGATTTTGCATGTCTGAAATGCTGCTTGAGCGCCACAAAAGGAAGTCTTTTTTGCATCGAATTGTTACTGGTGATGAAAAATGGATTCATTACGAAAACCCGAAGCATAAGAAATCGCATGGGAAGCGCGGTAAACGAGCAAAATCAACGCTCAAGCACGATATTCATTGTGCTCTGTATTTGGTGGGATCAGAAGGGTGTCCTCTATTATGAGCTGTTAAAACCGGGTGTAACGATCACGGGAGACCTGTATGGAACACAAATGATCCGTTTAAAGAGAGTATTGAACGAAAACCGGCCAGAATATGCGACCGGACATGAGTCAATAATTTTCCATCATGACAACGCTCGGCCTCATATTGCTCAACCGGTTAAAAGATATTTGGAAAATAGTGGATGGAAACTTTTGCCCCACCCGCCGTATAGCCCAGACATTGCCCCTTCTGATTATCACTTGTTTCGATCGATGCAGAATGCCTTGTCTGGAATACGCTTCACTTCAATTGAAGGTATCAAAAATTGGATTGATTCTTTCCTAACCTCAAAAAATGAGCAGTTCTTTTGGCGCGGAATCCATATGCTGCCAGAAAGATGGGAAAAGGTTATAGCTTCCGATGGCCAATACTTTGAATGACATGTTATTTACAGAATTTATGAAATAAAGTTTTATTTTTACAAAAAAAAAAGACATTTTTAAGTTGCACTACCAATATATTTTGAAATTAGAGTCACATATTACAGGTATAAGTAAAAAAAGTATTGTTTGAGTTACGATTTTTTAACAATTTATACATAATAATCTCAAGCAAAAAAATGAACAGAGAAATGCCTGAACCAATTATTAAAATTAATAGAGCCGATTTTATTTCAACAAGACCAACTGATTTCAATTTAGATGCACTGTTTTCACAAATTGGCTTCTTTGGAAACCATCTTATGTTTTCGCGTGCCTTGAGCCCATTCTCACCTTGAAAAGCAAGCCTAAAATGTCGAAAAAATTATGAATTCAATGTGAAAAAGGAAGAACGTCAATGTCATGTTTACCGTTGTCTGAATAATTCCTTGTAGGGGCTATTTATAAACATAAACAAAAAAAAACAAGCTTTGCATTGATTAAATAAATAAAAAATTGCTTACCTATTCCGAGCGATTGTAATTGTCAATCTTGGTACATGTAATATTGTTATTTCGGCTAGGCTACATTTTTCATCGTCGGTGAAAGTTTCTGAAATCAATTTATAAGCAGTGCTTGCTTCCAACTGAAATGCAAACAATTCTCGACGAACTCGTTCAACGCCAACGGCTGGGTCATATATCCATGCGTTTTCACCAAAAGGTTTCAATTTTGTTTCGTAAACTCTTTTTAAAAGGCCCTTATTTTCGTATTTGAATATAAAACGTGCATAACGTACGTCCTGCAGGGCCAATTTCATTGGCGATGCTATTAAATCTGATAAAATGAATAAAGTAAATTGTAACTTATTAACATGATTTCGACCAATGATAAGAACACAAGATCAACCATCAATATTTTTAATTGCGTTGCTTGGACTCTGTAGCAGAACGAGAATATTTGCCGAATACGAAATAAACACGAACAATGACAGAAGAAATGTGGATAAAACAATAATGCGGCCGCTGATTTTTGACATAATTAAATGTGTCCCTTGCTGGGTAACTGCTCCACAGATAAATCCACAGATATCGAGATATGACATTCGCTCTCGTATTTCCGGGTAAACATATTGCGATAGCATCGACAACCAAATAATCGACATTGAAACTAGACACGCTAGCCAAACATCAAAACGGAGTGGCAGCACAAAAATATTGCTTATGGAAGCGAGTTTCGGTTGACGATATATAATTGGTACGCTAAAAAGAAAAAAAACATTTTTATAAATACCGGTTTGTCTTATTACGAAAAAGAGAATAAAAACATATCCTTTACTCACACAATTGGAAACAAATCAGTAGTGAATTCGACGTATTGCATTCTATCTACACGCATTGAAGTTTGGTGAAGTAATAAGTCGACCTTGTCTTTGGCATATAAGGCCATCACTCCATCCCATGTCCCATTTACTAACCATCCATATGAATCGGTTTGTAAAACGTTACACCTGAACAGTTTTGGTTTTAAAGAAAAATCAGTGTTCTTTTGTCAGCAATGTGTGTGAGTGTGCCAAGGGGTAGTAGTTGCTACGAACTGTTTCAACTCTTCTTCTTAACCATATTGAATAAAATCAAAAGATGCAGTGCGAAACAGAGTTGTATGTAGATGTTCAACGGAATGAAAAAATGATAAAAAAAACCATACGCATTTTCCACGGTGTGTATGTGTGTTTTGTTTTACAAAAAGTTTTCAAAAAGCTTACGTATAATTTAAATCAAACCCCAAATTTATCATCATCGGGTACGTTGATTTGGTGGCAACATCAACATTAGCATTACGTGGATCTGACATATATGTAAATTTTTCCGGAAATGAAATCTTAAAAAAGATTTTTTTTTTTAATGAAACTTTTTTTCATATCCATAATGAATTTCTTCAAAGAAACTTTGCTTTTTCTTTGTTATTGCGCTTATATCTTCAATAATACATTATACTCACAACCAGAGCGCAACGAAGTTCAATCCCTTTTAAATTTTTTCGTGTTAATTTTGTGTGAAACTTTTTTGTCACTTCCAATTCGCTTGAATTTTGTGAAAATGCTGCACCAAACATCGATACTTCTAACATGTAGTTTTTTCCAACTTTGTATACATCAATGAAAAGATATTTTGCAGATGGCTCATCGAATTGTACCACCAGAGCTTCACTTATTGGCAATATATCGATCGATTCAAGTAAATATTTTGCCTGTAACTATGTATAATAATATTTCATAAAATCACGTCATACCATACTTCGCAGAGTGAACTTCGCATATGGAAAATGAAATTTCTAACGTACAGATATTTCACCAGACTTTCCATTTGGTGCGTCGAAGAAAAGCCAAAAATTCTTGTTTAGAAACAAAAGCGCTTGGTTTTCCTAAGATATACATTTTATTTTATTTTTTAGAAGAAAAAAAAGAAATAAGAAAAGAACTTTGTGAATGCATGCGAAGTACAAGGTATATGTACAGAATTATGCATTCAGAACTAGGATAGTGTGTTGAAAAAAGTTCTTGCCTGTTGAAATATGGCCAGAGTGTGCTTGCATTTGATGTCGACCGCATACCCGTGTACAGCATACATTGATGTATCTAGTAATCGTGGAATGTTTTGAAAATCAGTCACATGTCTCGATTGTATATTCAATGAAGCCGAAAGTTGTGCTGAAATTTTCACTCTGTCCGCTGCACAAAATTCGAATCATATGATTTATAATGTATACTATATATAAATGCGAAATAATCCATAGCCATATTGTAACTTACTGAATTCAAAACAGTTAAGATGAGTCCATGCCCCAATGTGCCGAAACTTTGAATATATCGATATAATATCTAAATAATTCTTAACCTGAATAGCATTCGATTCCAAACGAAAATTCAATACAATGAACAAACCGTAAAATGGGACAATATTCGATACTTTCATTTTTATTATGCTTGTAAATTGATTTGTGATCATTGGTTATATGTATATGTCTATACCTATATATATGGTTTATGCTGTGGCATACTCTATATATACAAATATCGGAAAATGTGTCAAATGTTAACTGTGAGTCCTATTTATAATCGAATTTCATACACAAATCGACAAGTACTTTGCATAAATAATATAACAGTTGACAAGCAAATTGATGGACATTTTATGTTGAACTAAAGAGAAAATTGTAATCGTTGACAGCTGACAAACAACAACAATTGAACAACAAATTCAAGTGACGTGCACAATTTTAAATTTCATTGTCAATGTTTATTTTGAACATCTGTCCAATACTTTTTAATGATTGTTTCACTTGTACGATGTACTTTCTTAATTTTCTTCTTATTAAACCGTATTAAATAGTAAATAACAATTTCCAATAATAAAAATGCCAACGACAATGATGTGCCGATAAGTAAAAGATATAAAGCTGGTTTAACTTCTTGTAATCCAACCGTCATGAATCCTCGTGCACCACCCTCACAAATGGGCTTCTTTGGAAACCATCTGCGCTTATACTTGTTCATTAATCCATTTTCTCGTTGCCATCGAAGCCTGCATAAACATTATTTGTGTGTAGTGTATGCGCATTTTTCAAATATCTTCTTTTATTTATTTATTTATTTATTTATTTTTTTAAATGTGGATAATCTTTTGAATTACCTTCGCTTAACCAGCTCTTTATATGGGCTGTTTCGTTCAACCGTTACAGTAGTAACAGCCAATCGCAATACATGGATTTCACTTAAACTGCATTTTTCACTTTCGGTATAGGTTTGAGCGACAGCCTTGTAAGCTGACGCTGCTTCAACTTGGAAAGCAAATAATTGTGTACGGATTTTCTCAACCCCCACAAACGGATCGTAAATCTTTTTGAGGTAAATTATATTTATCCATGTATATGTAGAACATTGTTGAATGTATGAAAGATGATGCTATCTCTAATTAATAGAAATACTTACCTTGTAGGATAGAATCACAAATAATCGAAATGGTAAATAATGTGAAAAAGTGGAAATTAAACAAATTAAAATGAAATGACTCCTAATGATATGTAAGCAATAACTTACATTTTTTACTTACCCAACCTTTATCTCCCTCGGGCTTAATTTTTTTCTCATAAACTGTTTGAAGCAGTGTAATATTTTCCACCAAATAATTGTACCGATTGTATCCAGCTTCTTGAAGTGCCATTTTCAATGGTGAATTCAATAAATCTATTGCGAACAAAATAATATATATATTTTTTCATTGGATGGGAAAAACGCAATTTACCATTTATGTCCCGAATTAAATGGCTTGGACTTTGAAGCAATGCCACAATACTTGCTGCATATTGATTTAAAAAAATAAAATCAATATCATTTAATTTTAACAAATAAATAAATTGTTATTATAACTCAGTTGTTGTTTTAATAGCACTTGAAAAGTGGCTCTCTTGTGAAAATTATTTTTTTTTCAATTCATTTAAAATAAAATTCGGAAATGATTCTATGAAAAACCTGAATATGATGTGAAAATTGCAAGCGTAGCCAAAAATGTTGTTATCATGACAAATCGACCCGATGTAGTTGAAATAACCAAGTGTGTACCCTGTTGACAAACGGCGCCCCATACAAAAGTTACAACATCGTATGTCGACATCCGAGCCCGCAGCGATGCATGCACACACGCGAATTGCGTGTACATTACTATGATTGAAATTATCATTATTACAAAACAACATCGCCACACCTGCGTATCCTAAATTGAAATTGATTTTCGAGTTTTTATTTTGCTTTTGTGAAAATTGTCTTTTTCGTGTTTGAAAAAAATAAAATAAATAAAATAGCAAAACATTTACATACTAATGGTAGCACGAAAATATTGGAAATGGTGGAAAGGGGTGGTTGGCGAAAAATAATTGGTGTCCTAAAAAGATATTGGATCCATCATCAGCATAAGCTATCACTACATTTTTTTAGATATTTCTACACTTCGATTTTGTTACATTAAGTTTTGAAAAATTGCATTTAATTAGAACAATCAATTTCTAACAAAATATATTACTCGATAACAAAAACTTCCCCGGTAAATTCAACAGCTGCCTAAAATACACAAGCAATACATTTTACAAAATAGCAATGCTCATGTTATTTTGTTCATTTACCAAACGGTCTTCACGCATTATTGTGGCATGAGAAAGCATTTGAATACGTTTTTGTTGAAACAAACCCATTACACCATTGAATGTGCCGTTTATATTCCATCCATATGAATCCATTTGAATAATATCACAGCTGAAAAAAAATCACAGAAAAAGCATTTCTCTCGATCTCTCACTCGCACAGAGTTGACATGCAATTAAAGTAAAACTATTGACAGTGCGGTTTTTTAAGCTTTGCAATTGATATTAACCTCATATTTAAATTTTCTCTCATATTTGCTGCAACTGACGCTGTTCCTTTAGTGAATATATCAACATTTTCAACTTTTGGATCTTCTAAATACGTGTATCTCTCAGGATAAGCAATCTACGTTTGAACGAACATTTATTTGATGTGATTGATTGATTTAATTTATTGCTAAGTATTTGAACTTATCACTACATCTATATTCAACAGATAAAAATTTAGTGGACTACATAGATTGATACGAATTGACACTTATCACAAAGTGTGATAAAGAGAAGATGATATTGATTTTTTATACAAACCACAAGGCCACATTTCAATTGAAGACCCATAAGATCATCTCTATTGGATTTGCTGGTAAATTTATCAGTAACTTGAATCCATTGGGTTTTCGTCATTTTATTGTCTGCGTTCACATTGATGATGGTATTTTTATTGAACACATGACCATATATCGATACTTCAAGCGGAAAATGGGGAGCAATTTTATAAATATCGAATAAAATCCAATCGATTGCTGGATCCGAAATGTTGCGAAAACGCTTTGCAAACATTGCTTCACTTATTGGTAACATGTCAAGGGTGGTCAACCAATTCTGGCGATCGGTCTTTTGAAAAATATTTATTTGAATCGTTCATTTTCTATGCGATTATATCATTTTGTAAAATAATAAAAAACATAAAACTTACGAGCAAATCTATTTGATCATCCTCAAAATCAACGAAAAGCCAAAAATTGTTATTTTTAAAGATGATTTTAAAGTCTTCCTAAAATTAATTGAATGGGTTGATTCAATGAAATCGAAATGCAACACAATTTATAAACACACTTGCGTGAAAATGGTAAGAAAATTGTCGCAAGAAATATCAACCACGAATCCCTGCGTGGTGTGACGCGGCGTATCAATCAAACGTAAAATACTATTGAAATGTGTAATGTGACGCAATTGAAAAGATTTGGCTGATAATTTTGCACTAACATATGCACGTTGTGCTTTAATTTGGTTCAGAAGAAAGAAAAAACGAAATACTTTAGTGAAAATTTATATTTCTTCACGCTAACAGTGGTTAACTTAGTAATTACACATCGAAAAGCAGGTAAATTGAGTTAGAATGGAAACATGCCGATGATCAAAATATACATTTACTAAATCCAAATATTTTGCGATGAAAGCATCCTGTTGTTGTTGCGACGACCCGATGGCAGTATAGCCAAAGGCAACGAGAACGAAAATTGAGCAATCGAATCGCATGTCAGACGAAAGTAAAATGATTTATAATGACAGTCGTCGCTCGAAACTGAAATCGATCAATCATTTCATCGCCCTTTTATACATAACGACGACGATGACAATGATGACAATGATGAAAAAGTAATTTGCATAATTGATCATGATTGACTTGCTGTTCCTATTCTGATGAGCTTATGAAAAGAAAGAATCAGTTTTCATTTGCTTTCCGCAATTGAAAAAAAAAATGTAATTGTAAAAACAAGATAATTTCTTAATAGTTTTTAAACGTACAATTTCTTTTTCATTGAAAATTCATACAACAAAATGCAATTGTTTGGTTTTTTTTTTTTTTTGTTCAGTAGACTTAACTCACAACGAGTTTGCGTTTACGTTTATTAAATTCATTTACATACTCAATCACAACAATAAATTACCTAACTTTGATATTAAATACAATTTGCAATTTAAAAAAATGTATCAATACACTCGGTCTTTGCAAAATATTTTATTGTTTTTTTTTTCTAATTCATGTGAATGGTTTTTTTTATAGATTTAACTATGTTGTGTTTTTTTTTACAAAGTACTACAAACGAACTCGCTTTAACCATTTTTAAATTAGGGGAGAAGAAAAATTATGATAAACTAAACTGTGTGATCAAAATTTACAACTAATCAAGGAATCCCGGTTTTCGGGACATTGTTGTTTTTTCGAAATTTTATGACGAAAGCAAATTTACGGAAAATTTAATTTTGTTTTCAGCTATTTTTGCCAGAGACTTGTCGGAAAGAATCAATGAATAGATTGTGGTTACAGGCTATAACAGTGCCATTTTCGCGGGTCCAATTCATAGGTGAAATTTGTGAACAACGGACAAGGAAAAGGACTTTATGATTTCCGACAATTCCGGACGAAATGTTTGGAATTTTGAAGACCTATTGATTTGTTTATATAAACAAAATACGAAAATCACTAAGTCTATTGTTCTGCATTCGAAACATTTTGTTCAGAATTGTATCATAAAGTCGCTGTTCATATGCGTTTTGCACAAATATCGCCTAGGAGCTGCTAGGAAAATAGCACTGCTAGGAAAGAACGCATAATTTTGAAAATTAACCATGTATCGCTGTCAGTTAATTTGAATGCGTCTCGCTATTATATCTATTGGGAATTTTTTTATCATAGAAGCGGATTATTTTGAAGTATCTCGGTTGTGTTCGAGCTGGTACTAGTTTGTTTGTTTGGTTTTCATTCTAATTTTAAATTTTTTTAAACTAATAAAACACGATTTAACATTTGGGATATTTCTTAAGTTCAATGGCGTGTTGAAGAGCTAGTCTATTAAACAAACAAACGAAGAAAAAAAATTATGAATCGCAAACAAAAAGATGTATTGTATCGTGGTGGTAATTAATTACGTTGTTTCTTTGACAGTTTCGATGAACTGGATTTTGATTTATCATCTTTTTTTATCGGTTTTGCACCGCCAGTGAAAAATGATGTAATCATTTCGCTAATTTCGGGCATTTCACTTGAAATTTTGTTCAAATTCATGTTTTCCATTTCTTTTTTCGTCTCTGGATCGTTCATCATGCGTGGCAAAATGACCATGAGAATTAATGGCAACACCATCATCAGAATCATTGGGCTAAACAAGAAATCGGTAATCTGAAAAACAATTGAAAATAATTTGCAAAATTAAAAAAAAGTTTCTATATAAAAAAAATTTGGTTAACCATAGCACTGAATACAGACCTTCCATTGTTCGCGTGTTTGGAAGTACTTGAATCGAGTGAGAGCTTTCAATTTTAATGGATATGGAACTTGTACGACCTGCGATGGTTGAACGTAATTCAGTTTGCGTGCTCGGAACTTGCCCTTCGGATTGATTTCAACTCGAACCTAATTCATACAATCAAACGTCAAATATTAGCCAATACATTTTTTTTCTCTGGATTTTAGAAAATAATAATGTTCATTTACCGATTCATAATAATAGTCTGGATTTGATACTTCGACCACATAGCTACCCGATGGAATGCCATTCAGGGCAAATGTGCCATCTTCTTTGAGAAAACCCGAATATTCGCCATTGTTTATCGTAATAACTGTATCACGTTGCCAATTAAAATCGTTGATTGAATAAATTTCCGGTGCATATACTTTGCCTTCAATCGAATATAAACCACTATTCGTTTCGTATTCTTCCACAAGAGTTTCACATTTTATAAAGCTAGTGAAATAACATAACACTATGAAATAAATATTTAATACTAATTTATGATTTTCAACTATTTTCCATTTATTTAACAGCATTTTGTATGATTCTTCTCTGCCCTTGTTGCGTATTTAATGAAACAATTTTTCGTTTTTATTTGCAATTTGACTTATGACTTATGTTTACACATAAATTACAATTGACGATAATGAATCTATTAACAAAAAAAAATATTTTTTTCCCTTCTTCAATATCTAATTTAGCTGTCGATGACAAGTAAAACAACGTCATTCAATACTTGTGATCACAAGCAATATATGCACCTTTTTCTGACGTTTTATTTATGGTGCGTACATGTGTATGTGTGTTTATGTGTACATGTATATGAATGCGTTCAATACATTGCTATTGTTGTTCAGTAATGAGTGTCAACTGTCAGATGGTCGTGGATTTCCTCGTGTTTTTCGAACAATACTTTGACAGATAAAATTATTGTTTAATGTAACAATTAAATAAAGTGTAAAAAGAAAAATAAAATCAAGAACAATCTGATTGTAATTTAAATTTTGCGTAGAAAAAACAATTTTTTTACTCGGTCGGATAAAACAAAAAGAAATCCAAACATTTACAGTAATGGCAAGAAGCAAGAATAAACGTCAAAGAAAAAAATCAAAGGTAATCCACATTTCATCTTTTCAAAAGATTCAATTTTCTTTCATTGGTTTAAGTTGTTATCATATCGATAATTGTCGACGCTAGGTGATTTGAATTAATTTGAGGTTAAAAATTAACAATGTCAGACGGAGCGCAAAACATTAAGCGTATTGGTTGTCGCTCACACAAAGACCCTCTCTTTTTATTTGTTTTCTCCTGTTGAACGCATGTCCTAACGACTGACACACATTTAATGTATGAATCATGTTTGCATCATGCTCGATCCATAATAGAAATCGATTTTTCCCATTGCTACATTAATCCCATACGTTTAGTTTGACATTTGGACGGCGCCGCCAAAATAAAAAAATATTTAATAATACCAGTAAATAAACGAGAGAAAAAAACTATGTCAGGATTAGAAGAAATTTGGAATCAATCGTGTGAAAATCAAAATATTCCACAAGAACTCGCAAAAACTTGGCTGAACAACGTTAAAACAAAATATAGCACTGAATCGCATCGAATCTACCATAATCTAAATGTTTTAAATAAAAAGTGTGATTTGCTACGGGCATTCGGTCAATCCGTTCAGTATTCCGACTATTTAGCATTTGCAATAGTTTTCCAGTATTATAACTTTGATCTGAAAACTGATTGTAGTGGAACAAATTGTGCGGCATTCCGTGAATTTTACAATGCAGCAAACATTGACAATGTAAGTTTGATTCACAACCGAATTCGGATTGTAAGATTAACTGTGGTTTACATTTTAGATAAAACTCCTTGATTCGGTATGTTATTTGTTGGGCGATTCAAGTAAAACGTTCTCCGGAAATGCGGAAGATATTTTACTGTATCAGGATTTGGATTTGATTGTTTTGGGGTAAATTGAATTAATCGATTAAATTCTGCCTTTTCGTATTTTGTTTACATTATATTCATTGTCATGGCTATCCTCTCTCTCTCCATCTCGATGTTATGTGGATGCGATGCTTAGTTCGTCATCAAGTGAATATAAAGAATATCAACAGGCAACACAAAGTGAATATTCTCATTTGGATGAAACGACATACAAAAAAACACGACTGAGAGTGAGTGTTTTTTTTTTCTTTAAGCTATATCAGCATATTGCATTATGCTAACGCATCGTTTTTATTCTCTCCTTCTCTCTCTCTCTCTCTCTATCTCTCTTTCGCAAAACTGATTCCGTTAGATTTTAGAAACATTTTTACAAATCCCACAAATATATTCGGTCTCATGTATTGGTGAACGATTCGAAGTTTCGGCACGAGCAAATATCAAACAGGAGATAGCAGAATTGAAAAATTGAGTCTTTGTGTAGTATAACGGTGCGAGCACTGCAAATCGTCACCGGTTTGGACAAAACACGTGCAGTTGTTGCTTGTTCTTTCATGAAGTAGTATTGTTTGATTATTTGATTCTATATTCTGTGTGTTCATTAAATTCAAATCAAATTAAAGATGTAAAACATTCTTTGTATCTCTTGCATCTCGAAAAAAAAATATATATTTAATTGCGTGTGATGAATAAAAATTTCTACAAGAAGTAATCAATGTTTGTCTATTAGAAATTAAGTTGTTCTTCTGTATTGATCGTACAATCAGGTAAGTGAAAGAAGAAGAAAAACGATTGTCTATTAAATATTGTCAGATATAGTTGTGTCGCTGTAATTGTTGTCATTGCGTATGAATCCAATATTTCGTTTGCTCGAATCGATTTTATGTTACACTGACATGGAATTTGAATTGTGTAAACTGTTTATTGAAATTGGATTTCATACGAACACTCATTGTTACCGGTCAATAAAATTGGACAATTGGCCGCATGCGATTGTTAAGTGCTTTGTAACATCGCATTGAAGAGAACTGAAAACCAAATCACCAAAGGACGGAAGTTGTATGTCAATCATTTCAACATGATGATGATGCAAAAATGAGTGTTGTCACCGAACATGTGACCATTGACAATGCAAACAGCCACAATTTGGCGTGAAACTGTAAGTATTTCGGGTAAGATTGCCATTCAGAGTTTTTTTTTTCTACTGTTCTCCATTGACTGACCATTGATCCCTTGCCAAATTCAGTTGCAACAAATTCATTTAAATGGATTCGAAATATTTCTTTTTCTTTTCGTTTTCTCCCAAGATAAATCAAAGTTTGACATCTAGAAATCAAACGTCTGTTTTATTGCAATCACGGAAGGTGAGCAATTTTTTGCATTTTTATTTTATAGATCGACAATTATTTTGTATATGTAACATTAACAGCAAAGAAAACAGCGATCATTGGACAAGAAACTAAACAAATCACGTACTAAGAAAACACCAAAACATCTACCATTGGAAACTCTCAACAATACAACTGTAGCCGACAAATCAAGAAATTCCCACCAATCGATATCAATTATTGAAATCTCACCGGAGAAAAAACAATCAATTCGTAATAGAAACGAAAATTCGAATTCACACTCAGAGTCAGATTGTGAGATTATTGAACAAGTGACACCTCTTATTGTACTTGATGACGATTTTATAAACGAATCAAGCGAACAAAGTGCACGACCAAACATACAGAACGAGACAAGTGAAACAATAAAGAGTACCGTTAACTCAATTGATGCTAGTGATATCAATGGTACTGTCATCGTTGTGCCAAATCAAACGCCGAACAAAAACAATTCATTGTCATCGAATGAAGTAACTACCGAATCGAATTTACAGCCACCAGAAGAAATACCATGGTTTTTTGAAGATAAAACACCTGGTTGTACAGATTCTGAAGCACCTATTTACGAAATCAATTGTGCGTCAAGTACAAATAATTATCAAAATATGGCGAAAAAAATCCAAATAACCTTTCAAAATAAAGAAAATAATGTGAATTTCGATAATTCATTTGCACCAAATCCATTGTTATCATCGACTCACCTAAATGGATCCTGTGATGAGATGGAAGCGAGCCCGGAAAATTTATCAAACGATACCTGTGCTCCATCACAAGCAAACAATTTATGTATTACAATCAATTCAACGGGTGTTAATGATATATCGCGTCAGGTTAGCATTGGTAAAACATCACCAATCGCTTCGGAAACGGCCAAATCGCAAATGATAAATGCAAGTCTTGAAAATGCACAAAAAATGAACAAACGCAAAGCATCAAATGAAATCGAAAAAAATGAACCAGCATTAAAACGAAGCCGCAACGAACCATCGGATGTCATCGTTGTAAACGATACCATTTCAGATGAAGATGACTCGGTTGTTTTTGTTTCCGAAACACTGGACCACCAAAATCGTAACCGAATTAATCTACTTCGTGCAAAAAATTTCATTTCGCTTTCAGGCGACAATTCAAATCGGAACGGGGTAAGTTTGGATTTAATTTGATTTTGTTTTGTTTTAAATCTGAATAAAAGAAAATTTGATTTTTAAACTCAGTCAAAATCTACTCGGGCCAAAAGGAAGAAGGAACGAAAGAGAGAAAAGAATCGAGTCATTCAGGCAAACATTTCGAATAAAATTTTAGAGCAACGGAAAAATCGAATCAATCGATTCGATCCAAATCGTTTAAACAATTCTGTTAACACAGCCACCGCTTCATCGTCATCGACATCGTCGTCATCGACATCTGGTACGGCAATAGCAACAACAACTTCAGCCACCGCTGCAGAAAAGGCGGTCGCCAAGAAGAAAATTATTCTTGAATATGAAAAAGAAAAGAAGATGTTCGCCGAAAAGCCTGAACTGTTTGAAAAACGTGTGATTATCATTGACGGTAGCAACGTTGCATTCTCACACGGAGAAGCAATCGGCAAGAAAGGCCTTTATTCAGTGAAAGGTCTTGAATTATGCATGAAATACTTTGAGAATCGCGGCCATATCGTAAGAATTGTTATTCCATCAAATAGGTAAGCGAAGACGGTCATAATTTTACAACAACTTTTCAACGGTCATGATTAATATTTCCATTGATTACAGAATTAATCGATCAAGTGATCCGCTTGCATTGCAACGAATGGATAAACATACAAAATTGATAAAATCACCATGCAAAAATTTACCAGGTAATATTATAAATAAATTCTCTGTAAATTTATTTTATTATTATTTATTAATTGCTTTGGAATGTCATTTCATTTATAAATGATCGAATCAAAACAGATCAACGTTCGACATCATATGATGATAGATTTGTTTTGCAAGCCGCAAAATTAATGAAAGGGGCTATCATTTCGAATGACAACTATGCCGATTTATTGAATGAAGACGATGGTATGTATTAAAATTTGATGCAAAATCTCTTATCGTCAAAATGGCTATATATCTTTTTTTATATTATTTTTCAATTGGACGTTTGTATTCACATGAATTTTATTGAATCTTCTTTTCTTTTATTTATTCAATCTCAGAGTGGAATGAAATCATCAAGCAACGTGTGGTTGGTTTTTCATGGCTTGATGACTTTATTATGATCCCAGACGATCCGTATGGAAGAAATGGTAGAACGTTCCGATTACTTATCGATTATTTTAAATTTTATTCTTTTCTTTTGTGATTCTCCCCTTAGGTAGAACGTTGCAGTTAATCTTGCACAAATTGAAGAATGATGCCAATATTGATGACATCAATAAGAACGGTGACTCAAAATCTCAATGAACACTTTATAAGTTCCATAAAAACTTACATACACATACACACTTGTTAAACAAATCCAATACTTGAAACAGAAAATGAGTGTTTAAATTCATTTATATATTATTTATTCAGAGTTAAATTATTTGATAATAATTTAATATGTTAACGTTGGGTTAAGAAAAAAACCATTATAAATCGAAAACAATTGAAAAATGAATATACAGCAAATTTATTATAATTTCATCAAGCGTGTTTTCAATTTATTGATTTTTCTATTATAGGTGATAAAAAAATGGCAAATATCTATACTGAATTGTTCAATACAGAATGTTTTGCTTTTAAAGATCTTGGTATTCAATTCAAATGAACAAAAAAAAATGATCGTTATGTATCGGTGAATCAGTATGAATTACAATTACATATGCGTGCCTGTTGCCCATCCGTGTAAATAAATAGTCGATAAATTGACGAGTGGTAAATTCTGTCGAACTTCGCCATTTTTCTGCAAGTGGTCAAACCATCGCGATACATCAATGTACTTTTCTTTGGTTGCAGGTGTAATCGAGTTCATGATTGTGGATAATGAATAAAAAACGACTACGTCAGCGAGTGATAGACTTTGTCCAACCAAATAAGATCGTGTTCGTAGATAGTCGTTCAATTCCTATTGTTAAAAACAGTCATAAAATGTCATCCGGATAAATAAAATTGATCATATTTCTGTAAAGAATCATCATCCATTGATGCAGTACCTGTAAAACTAGCTCTGTTGATGCTTTGGATTCAATGGCTGGATCAATAAATAGTACAGCATAATCGAACCATTGCACAATTAAACATTGCGTCAGCAAATCACTTGTAGCAAAACTATTTATCTTACTCTCACGGCCCATTGCCGAAATGATTGTTGTGTATCCAGACAGCGTTTGATCTTTTGTCTTCCGACAAATCACCTATGTATGTGAACACAAAAAAAAGTAAATATGTCCATTGATTCAAAATGATTAAGGTTATGTTTAATGCAAAAAGTGCAAAAAAGCGATTTTGTTTACCTTTTCATTATTGATAGCAATCGTTCCGGGCACTACCTTCAAATATTTTGCAATTCGTTTTATATTCTCAACGCTTTTGTTTGCCATTGTGTTTAATTTGTACAGAAAATTAATTTAATTCAATTCACTTGGAATATCCGAAAGAAAAAAACTCTCATCTGGATGATGAATGTTATTCAAATCCAGATAAATGTTGCTATGCATGCGTGTAAAACAGCGCACTCTACCTGACCGATATGATATGACATTTGACACATTGTTGCAAACTCTGTCGAATAATCACAAAACATTTTTTCTAATCAAATGAAAATGTTGCTTTTCGCTTGAACATGATAATGGAAATTACCAATTAACTGATACGAAGCAAAAAATAAAATTTTAGCATACAGAGTTGAATCAATATTTTTTTAACGACATTTTATATTTTGATTTGTTTTAAATTAATTTTGGTTTCCCCTCTTCATTTGACAGTTCCATATGAAATCACTATATCATTTTAAGTAAATACATACGCGAATACTATTGTTTTCTATTTCTGCTCATACGATGCGTCATACTGATGAAAACATTTAGATTCAGTAGTGATTAATTTATTGAACAAATTTACAACCATTTTTTTATTTCATCACTTCAATTTAGTTTTTCTTTTGATAATTCGATTGTATATAGTTTGTTTGTCGCATAGCATCGATATAAAATATTAATTGAAAGTAATCAAATTATTAATTATATAAAATAAAAAAATATTGTGTAACTAAAAAAAAGGCAAAAATGTTTTCAAGTGGTCCAAACTATTCGAAATTGAAGACAAATCTTCGATTAGCTGTAAATCGCCTGAGATTATTGGAAAAGAAAAAAACCGAACTGGCACAGAAATCGCGTAAAGAGATTGCCGATTATCTGAGCACGGGCAAAATTGAACGAGCCAAAATTCGCGTTGAACACATCATTCGCGAAGATTATTTGGTTGAAGGCATGGAAGTCGTTGAAATGTATTGCGATTTATTGCTGGCAAGATATGGTCTATTGCAGCAAATGAAAGAATTGGATGAGAATATTGCTGAACCAGTGGCCAGTTTAATTTGGGTTTCACCCAGACTACAAGCAGAAGTTGAAGAGTTGCGTGTCATTGCCGATATATTGACCACGAAATATGGTAAAGAATATGCTGAAAAAGCCCGAACAGCCACTGGTGAACATACAGTTTCCGAAAAACTTATGCACAAATTGTCCATACAAGCACCACCAAAATTATTGGTTGAAAAGTAAAGTTTTCATAATTATAAGGATTTCATAAATATTAACGCATAATATTCCATATAATTTTGTTCAGGTATTTAATCGAAATTGCAAAAATCTATAATATTGAATATGAGCCAGATCCACAAGTAATGAAAGAAGAAGGTCGTCCACTTGGTAAGCATTTGTTTTCCTTTGATTTAATTCGCTAAAAGCGATCTTGAAATGATTTTTCATTGTTTTCGATACTAGGTTTAGATGGTATGCTTATTGATTTGCAACCGGGCAGCAATAATTTGGGTGGTGGGGGAGGAGGTGGAAATGCTCAACCACCAATGGGTTTCATTGATTTTCCACAGCCACCAGCCTTGCCAGTGTTGCCTCAGCAAACCGCTTTCAACTATCCAACACCGGGCAGCAGTTCAACTCACAGTGCTCCGCCATTCAATTACAATATTCCACCGTATCCCCCATTGGATCAAGAGAAAAAGGATTTGAACACTCAATTTTTATCGGTATGTAATTTTAGTAATAATTTTGTGGTTTTTTTATATATTTGCACAACGATTGACCAAAATTGTTTTGTATCTAATATCAATTTTGTTTTCTATTTTGCATGCCCATTTTTTTTTATTTTTCAAATAAAATAATGAATATCTGTTTTGTGCCGGCGGCTGATGTAAATATTGTAGGGAGAAAATAGTAATTTTCCACCTCCTTATTCAGTTCATCCGGACGATGATGTTCAAGTAAGGATGATATTTAAATTTAATCCTAATTTTTATTTTATTTTATTTTTGTTCTGTTCTTTTTGCTTCTTTTTCGGTTCTGCACGTTTTTTTTTTTCTTCCTCACCCATATTGTTTTCCGTATGGCATGTACATTCTTTGGTTGCACATGATTTATAAATATGCATGCACACATTAGTTTCGCTCGATTCAACCAAGACCACCATCCTATTCAACTATTGGCAAACCTAATCCACCCGTTGATCAGGTAGCAATACGTACACCATACTAAAATGAAAAACAAAATAGATCTGGGAATCAACGTTTTCACTTTATATAATAATTGATACTGGTTATATATTTTTTTAAATCATTGGTTCATCAATCTATTGTTCATTTGTAGAATTTGAATAACACCCCAAAGCCACAGCCAAGATCAAAGATGTCACCGCCACCACCATCAGCGTCTGCACCGCCATCATTTAATGATGATTTGTCGAATTTACCGAATGTACCATTGGACAATTTACCGGATGTTCCATCATCATCTGAAGGAAACAACAACGAAGATGAGATTGATTTTGATGACCTATCTAGACGCTTTGAAGAGCTCAAAAAAAAGAAATAACTTTGCCTAAACGAAAAAGATTTCCTTAGCGGTTTTACCAATACTGGAAACTATGATCCAAGTCATAAACGAAAAAGAAACATTCTTATGACGTGTTCCATTTAAAACTTTCTTTAAAATTAACTTTAGTAATGTATTTAAAGAGTTCGTTGTCAAATACAATTGAACGGAATATTATTTGAAGATGGAAACAAAAATTATAAAATATATATATTTTTTTCTCAGAATTATCTTTACAATATTATCTATGCTACAACATTTTTTAAATGGATAAATAAAGGGTATTATTATGTACAAAATTTGTTGGGAAATTGTAACAAGACAAAAAAAATGAAAATTGTAAAAAAATCCACCGTTGGTAATGTCATGTAATACAACATATGTGTCATAAGTTTATGGACTAAATTCAAACGAACCCAATTTAAACACCAACAAACAAATTGAAAATTTCTCTTTGTGGTGGAAACCTTTATTTATTAAAAATCGAAAAGCATATTTACAGTACACTTAACGGACCGTTGTCTTCTATTTTTCGTAGTATACTTCGAACGTTCAAAACCATGTCCCGGCAGACCGATACATCCATTTCCTTCAACTTTCGCTCGATTCGACCCATCAACTGTTGCTCGTTTCGAGCCTCCCAGCCCTTCTCGTACACCTTATGTTTGACAGCTGACCAGAAATCTTCGATTGGACGTGCCTGTGGAATGTCTGGTGGGTTGTCCTCTTCCGGTACAAATGGTATATTTTGTTCAGTGAGCCAATTCAATGTTTCTTTCGCATAATGACTGCTTGCAAGGTTCGGCCAAAACATGATTTCGTCTCGGGCGTGATGATTTTCAATGAATTGCTTTAGTTTTGGTAAGCATTGATCAATATAAATGTCAGAATTTATCGCTTCGGCTTCTTGTGGTCGAATAATCGGCGCTGAAATACCTTTCGATGATATGGCCACCCAAACCAGTACCTTTGGCTCAAATTTTGCTTTGCCGGCATATTTAACATTGTCTGGGGTTGCTTCAATATTGTCTGTGTAAAAGCCATCATTTTCACTCAATTCATGGTGCGCAAAAGTAAAGTATGATTCATCATCCAAAATGATGAATTTTCCATTTGAAAAATGTGTGTCACGAAGTGCACGGCAACATTTTGGTATTATTTCGAGTTGATTCGGTGTATATTTTGATGCTCCCTTTTGTTTACGATAAACAATGTTGTTTTTCTTCAAAATACGATGCACTGTGGAGCTTGAAACTTCAAATTTTCGTGATAATCGTCGTGTTGACTGACCATCCTTGTTTTTAGCACTTGACAGCAGACTTTTCGTTGTTCTGACACTTAGTTTTGGTGGACGACCAGATTTCTTTTTGTTTTCCTGTTCCTTACCTTCATGGCAATCCTTTAAAACACGAAATATGCTTGAACGAGAGATTGGTTTGTCTTTGAATTTCGCAAGTATTTCTTTTGTACTTAGTTTGCCAAAACAATCTGCGACAGACTTGCGCAAATCCAGTTTGTACGACATTGCGAATGGAGATTTTTTTTATATAAATTTTTTCTCAATATTATCTATGCTGCAAGATTTTTTTCAATGGATCAATAAAATTGTAAAAAATTGGCCATGCAATGTCATGTAATATAAGTAATGTAATTGAAACCAATACATTGAATGGCGTTGACGTCAGTGTGTCGAAACATTGAAAGTTAAATGCGGTGCGAAGAAGAGTCGCCTTTGTCAATGTAAACTATTTTCATTCCTTCAAAAAAATGGTACCACTGTTTGCAAGCAACAAATTCATGACTTTGTGAATATATTTCAAGTAATTGTACACAGATAACGTGTACATCGTGCAACACTCTACCACTACTAGATTAGTGGTACTACTCATTGTGATTATAGAACAACTAATGCGTTTGTATGGGTGTGTACTGCTTGTATTGTACAATACACATCACGCTTTGAGTTTCCCAAAGATGGCGAACATTTTGTAAGTCACTCGAAGTGGTTTATCGCTTTCATTTTCGCGGTGCTTTATTCTCTCTCTGTCTCATATGTGTACCATAAGAAAGTATATACTAGAAATATAAATTTGTTTTCGCTTTACAAAAAATATAATCAAAATATACGAACATAGATTTGGAGCATTTTGTGTGTTATTTTAATCCATTTCAACGTGTTTGGATTAACATTGTGTTTCAGTTCCATTATATTTTTGGTTTATTTTTTCTTGTTAATTGTAGTTTTTAAAGGTAAGCTAAGTGCCAAAAAAACAGAAATCATTGCTTGTGTTGTTGTTTTTTTTTTATTGAAATAGTGAGAATAAAACGTAAAGTAGTTTTTCCGTACGAGGAATTTTCTAACACAATTAATTTTAAAACTTGTACGAATGTGATGCAAAAAAAAATAAAAATAAAATAAAGTTGTGCATATGTGTTTACAATGTTATATTGTGATAAATGAGATGTGAAAGGAACGAAACAATTGCACAAAGTGAAAAGATGAAAAATCGAAAAACACAATTTGTTCATTTTTAGCAAAAAACTATTAAATAATTATTGAATTTCCATACAATTTTGACAGAAATATGTTATGACTATTGGTTGCGATTGACAAATTGTTTCACATTTATACACGGTTAAGACAGAAAACGAAATAAATTGGCAATGGCGCAATATTACCAAATAATACAAAGCATGGATGACATCAAACACTTAAATCTGGAAAATTGCGTTATAATGAATGAAGATGGAACACAATTCAGCCCACGATCGGTAAATATCTTAGAATAATTTTCCGATTTTACCATGTCAGTGTACAATAATGTACAATATATGTATAAATACATATGCGATGATGATAATAATATTTGTGTTTATGTCAAACGATTACAATTACAATTTGTTGTTTTCGTTTCAAATAAAAGGTGCTGCTGTCGGATCCAAATCAAGTCATTGAAAATAATCAAATTCCACAAATAATCTATCAGCAAAATCCACAACCAAATCAAATTCAAACAGCTGACGGACAAATCCATTATATCGTTCAGGAAGATGATCTTCAAAGTGATAATATCAATTTTGTACCACAAGCCACGCAACAAGTTTTCTACCAAAAAATAGCCACTGACAATGGTCAACAGATTATCCAACACCATGGTATTTAAAATATTATCAGTTTATGTCATAGATTTATAATATAAATATTTCGTATTAATTCTATTCGGATATGTTTCAAGCAAAAGGACAAGCCGAAATGCAAAATACTATCGAAGTACAGCAAGCACAACCAGTTCAGTATCAAACCTCACCAACTCAACCGCAAATTCATCAACAACCCTATCAACACATTGTCATCAATACATTTCCACAAAATACACAGGTTTTGGTGAGTGCAAAACAATATGCTGTTTAAAGCAGCGCAAATGTAGCTTTCTTTCAGAATTTTTATTGGAAATTCAACTCACTCGTTTTGTACAATAAATTAGTGTTGAATGATAATCTTCTTTTATTAAAAAGCAGCAGCAGCAGCAACAACAACAACAACAACAACAGCAGCAGCAACAACAACAACAGCAAGTAAACTGTGTTATTAGACAAGCACCTCAGATGCAAAATACCACATATGTGTTCCAACAACCCCAAATCCAAAATTCACCCACTCAACAATTAGTTCAAGTTCAAACGCATCAGCAAGCTCAAATTTCCTCACCACAGACTATGCAAGGTAACTAACTTCTGCCATTCATACTTAAGCTCAAATGTTATACTTGAATTCCCAACTCTCCGGTTGTTTTCCCACACAGAAATTCAAACATCACCCCAAATGCATGCAAATCGGATACAAGTACAGTTGGCACAACAACAACAACAACAACAACAACAACAACAGCAGCAGCAGCAGCAGCAGCACCAGCAGCAGCAGCAGCAACACCAACAACCACCTCCGATTATAAAAAATGTTCGACCAAGAACATACGTACATCGAATGGGCGCAAATCAAATTCAAATGGTAACACCGCAAAAAGTTATGCAGCCAGCCGGGTTACTACAACAATCACCTAGATTTCAAACGCCAATTCGAAGTAATGCGCGAGCCATAAATCCAAATATTAGAGCAGCTCGTCCAAGAGCACCGGCAACTCCACGCGTACGTACACCAATCAATGTTCGGCCAGCAATAAATGCTGTTCAACAGCAACAACAACAGCAGCAGCAGCATCAACAACAACAACTAACAAATACATCAGCTTTGGCCCAACGACCAAGATTAACTTTAACACGTTTAACAAGTCCAAATAATCATCCGAATCAAATTCAACCGATTATATCTGTTGGACCGCCAAAAACCGTAGTTTCAATAACAACACCGCCAAGAGCAACCATTCGTGCACCGATTTACACAAAAACCCAACAAACCGCTCAAACACACACTCAAACAACGACTCCAAACCAAACATCGGCCGGTGAAGATTTGGAGGATTCCATTCAAGCAGCCCGCATCACAAAACAGCCAACAAATCAAACGTCCGAAAATTATGCAGTCCTCTCACCAAATCAATTAGTTCAACATCAAATTAGCGAAGCAAATGACAAACAAATTGTTACGCTTCAAAGTGGCACACAAATGTCGGTGGCCGAATATAAACGACAACAACAGGTACCACAAACTATGAAACAATTGACCGGAATTAGGCCAATTCAACGAGGTGTCATCCCAAATAGACAACCAAGATTTGCAGCACCAAATATTGTACGCGGGCAAAGACCAATTATGGTAAGTGGTATCACATTGTGATAAAATTTTTGCGAAGTTTAAATATACTTCAATCTCACTTTTATTTTGACATATTGTCTTTTGCATAGCAGACAGTAATGGGACCTGATCATCATCATCATCATCATCATCATCAGCAGCAGCAGCAACAACAACAACAACAGCAGCAGCAACAGCAGCAATTACAACAACAACAACATCAGCAACATCCGCCGCCACAACAACAACAACAGCAACAGCAGCAACTATGTGTAATTGAAAAAGAAGTGCGAGAAAGTGCTAGAATGTTAATAGTTTTGGAAAATGGTGAACAACGACTCATCACATTTACTCTGCCAAAAGAGAGTTGCACCGTTCAAGAGTTGCTCGAACAAATTGGAGTACCATTCGAGCAAGATACGAACATTCATTGTATGGCACAACCTGGCCTTAATATTGATTATTTGGTAACAGTTGGCGTAAGTTTGACGGAAAATCCAACAGATATAATAACAGCTGCTGAAAATTCAATACAAATGAAACAAAACGAACAACAGCAACAACAACAGCAGCAACAAATCTATCAGAATACATCACAATCGATACAGGTTGTGCAAAATCATGCACAGCAACCGAAAATCCTTCAGAAACCAACTTCAGTTCAACAAGCGATGCAACAATTACAAAAGGCTCAGTCTCAGTCTCAATTGGTGAGATAATTAATTAAAAAAAAAAAAGAATCCAAAATAAATTGTATTTATAATTTTAACCAAATTTCAGAAGCAAAATACCGTAACCATTACACAAAAAGTTGCGCCAAAATATGTGCTTAATATGTTTGCATTGTGCGCTGCATGCGGTTATACAAGTCAAAATCATGCACAATGTCAACGGTAAATATTTTTTTTATAAATTGATTGAGTATAAAAAATAACTTGATCAAAACTGTTCTTTTTTGGTAGATGCGCCCGAGTTTTCACTGAAGAACCAAAAAAAATTCCAATGACAAACGCCACTGTAATGGCAACTCAACAAAAACCAAAAACAACGGCTTCAGCACAAAGAACTTTGGCCATAATTGAAAAGAATCGAAAAGAATTCGAACAAATTCAGAAGAAATATCAAATATCCGATGGTTCCAAGTAAGTTTCACTGTGAGAACATTTTTTTTTTTCATACATTCACCAAAATCGGAGCAAATAATGAATGTCGTTATTGCAGTCAATCGATGCAATAATAATGAACATCTGCCGAGCATTGCATTGATTCATAGACCTAAATTGACTGCTTGTATTGCTACCTTTACGCTTTGTACGAAATCATTTGCAAGAATTTAATCATTTAAATAAAAAATAACTTATCATTTGTTCCGAAGGCCACCCGTTCGTGCTAGATTACCAATACAGAGGGCAAATACGACCATAACAAAAAGATCGAAAAAAGCCGAAGAACCAGTCATTCTTACCTTAAGCAGTGATGAAGATGATGACGAGAATACAAATTCAAAGGTATATACAGAAACACTTTTCAGAGACAAATCATTTTCAACCACCAAAAATAGTAGGAATGAGTGAATGACTATGAAACAAAATCAATAGCAATGTTAAAATAACTGAATGTTATCTTAATGTCGCAAAGATTCTTTTGTAAAATTGATAATTCCTCAATAACTTATCCGATTATAAACGGATTAATGAGAAAAAAACTCGAGAAATCAGTTTGAGTTGAAATATATCTACCATAAATGGATTTTTTCTGTTAAAAATGGTATATTTTAAAACTTTCTGCCTAAAATGAGACCTAAAGGAGAAAAAACAATAAAATTACAATAAACTCCACTTACCGAGTACAATTTATACCAAGAGGTAACTTCCTAGCGAACTAACAAATAATTGTTATAAACTAATTTCCAAATTATAATTCGCATTTATAAGACGCATTCACGTATGATAAAACAAAAGCACATTATATCAATTCTTTTACAATTTGTATCATCAATTTCGATTGATTGCATACCTTTGTAATGGATATCACGATGCAATACAGTTGTGAGCGTTGGTTGTGATCCGGCAGCTCCCTCGATTTCAACGTTTGCAACATTTGGTGGCCATGTTTTGAAGAAGCGTTCACGGCTATAGCCAGCAGTGAACATTTGGGTGAGCTGCAGTGGCGATTTAAAACTTTAATGGGCTCTGCAACGACTAATTTTTGTGAACAAGGAAATTCCATGAAATTTTCCAATTTTGATAAAAAGTTTCAAAAGACAGTTTGGAATGTGCGAGCGAAACGAGGAATTTTTTTGACAAATTATGTTATTTTTCTTTCGAAATTTACATTACGAACGTATATGAACCAGCGTAAATTTCAAATTGTCATAATTTTTTTTTCGAATAGTTTTAGGGTGAGCTCAGTTGGCTCCCATGTAGAAAATTGATGGTTGATTGTGAACCATTTTGCATGCCGTCTTGTCGATTGCACGAACCGATTCGATATGCTTGTCCAGTCCCAAGCGTGCATACAGTTTGGTTGAATTGTTTCAATGCCATCATTTATTACACGTAATTGATGTTCAATGTACGAACGCCATGATGGTGCTTTTGGCGATGACATTTCACCAATCATAGCTGCAATTCGATTACGATCAGTTTGCTCTCAGTTTACGCGTGTCCGTTTACCGCACAACGACAAACTTTTTTATTTGCGGTTTTCGCGACGATCTTTGTATGCAAAGTGAAAGTTCCGAATATCGCGCTGAATTTCCGACCACATGCGAATCGACTTGAACCAATCCTCTTTCACAAAGTCACGGATGTTGCAATCGTCCGGTGCTCCCAACCAACGCAATTCATCCAATAGTTCACCCAATCGCATCTCACGTTCAATTGCGGTGTTTTGACGACGATAAGTATAATTGATGGCATTTTTTATATCTTCATCGTCGTAGTATGGCAATTCGAATTCGATCAAACCGTACAAATTGTTTAAATAATTGTACTTGATGGCGTAGTCGTTGAGTTCGAATGCTCTCATTTTAAAAAAACTTCCGCAATTGAAACTCGCAGTGCGTTGTCAGGTTCGTTATGACGTTGTCGCGGTACTGCTCACACAAATATTTAAAACCATTTCCGAACCCACCGTTTGTGGGCCAGTCAATGTGTGCAGCGTCGACAATGTTCCGGAAACCAGGTAACATAAGCGATATGTTACCAATGTTATCGACAAGAACGACTTTAAAACAGTTGTGTATGATCGTTGATGGTTCATCGGTTTCAAAAAAATAATAGTTGAAATCGTCGAGTGCTTCATTTGCCTATTCAAGAAACACAGAACACATAGAGAGAGTGTGAGACAAACAATCAAATCAATTCATATCAACACAATGGATAGCATATTGTCGAAAAAATGATGAAATAATGACGAAAAATGAAATTTGGTCAAAGCAACGTGTGTACTTACCTTCATCAAAAAAAAGAACGATGCAAGGCATGCGATCTTCGTGGCCTTCACCGATAAGTACGAAATGATTGCGACGAATAGATACATTGATCAAATGAACACACTACCAGAGAAACTCATTTTAAATTGAACTTTCAATTCGATTCATAATACACACAAGATTTTATTACGGTCGATTGTGAAATTCAAATTTTAACACTCAACGCGCTTCTTCCAACAGTAAAATATATCGATGCAATAGATTCACTCTTTCGATCGCATGGCGAAATTATGATTTTTCACGTTGCTAGTTTGTGAATGTTCTGTTATTTTACCATCAAGACAGAAACAAATACAAAATTCACCACGTGAATAAATCTTTTCTTTTGCAACATACATTAAAATCACATGAAAAGAATCATTTGTATAAAAAAAACTAACACGATGTGATGCGCTGCGATGATTACAACGCGAATTTTTGAATGTAAACAAATACTCTCGGCTTCGTTTTGACATGCACAACAGCCAACTGTCAAATGTCATACACATTCCAATAGGTCTCGAATTCGAAATTTGAATTTAAATTCATGAAATAAAAAATAATAATATATACGTTTAAAAAATGCGAAAAAATGTCTCTTGCCGAAACAAAAATCAAATTTCTTTATATACAAATTGTTTATTATTTTTTCTGCGACAAATGAATCATTATATAATTGAAATACGAAATTAAAATTTAACATTGTGTTGAATCGGGTTCACACTGTGCTGTGGAATGTGAAAACTATACACATAATCTATCTATTAATTAACACGAAAATGACCACCAAAATGGGTCAAAGCGTTCCATTTTTCAACGTTAAAATGGATGAAAAACGTTACAAATTGGATTGATTCAAATTAAAATTGAATATATACAAGCTCACATATAACGAATAAACCCTTTTCCCATTTTTATATTTCAATAGGAGAAGGAGCAAGGCGATAAACTGTTATCATTTGAACCGATTTGTAAAGAGAATATTGAACCTGATGGTAAGTTATAAACTCTATGTCGTTGATAATTTTTGTTAAAAAACTACCATATAAGAATATTTGAATAATATTTAGTCTGAATTTTAAATGGAAAAAAGGAAAAAAATATCGCATTTGAATAATGTGAAACCAACATCACTCATTACTAACTTCACGCAAAATTTCTGTCAAAAAAGCATCTCCAGCCAACTTTACTTCGATCATAAACAAATCTTAGACGGAATAACCTAAAAATGTCACTTTTGTCAAAAACGCATTGAACAACAAAATTTATTGTATTGTTTTACCGTAGACGTTTTAAAGATTTTCAGTTTATTTTTAATTGGATTTTCAACAATTAACGCACAAACATTTTGTAGGAAAAACTCTCAAAAATGTCAACATTTTGTAAGTAAAATTGATATGACCATAATTTCATGTAATTCTGTAACAAAAGTAGATTCAATCAATGGCGTCGAAGTTGGCTATGGAGTAGTGTACCAAATATTCATATGATAGTTTTTAAAATTCAATTTTTTTCTCATGCAAAATATTATTCGAATTGTATGGTTTTTTTAATGTTGATTTGTTTAAAGTATATTGTATATTTCATTGCTGTTGTGGTTGTCGTTGTCGTTGAAAATAGGTTTCATGCGTGAAGATGTAATCGATCTGAAAGATACAAATGATAAAACTATGGCCAAATTTAGGGCGGAACGAGTATATTTAGGAACATATAAATATGAACCAACTGAAGATGTGGTATTTACAAGTAAGGGTCTACGGCTAATGGCACCACATTGTCAGTATCCAAAGGAAAAGGTTATTTTAAACATTCAACGATCAGAAATTGCAAAATTCGTTTGTAATTTTGCGCCGAAATCTGTTCTTATAATTTACGTACTAAATACCTGCGGCAAATATGTTCGAGAAACTCTTGGAATGTCATCGGAAAATGAGGGTAAATAAATTTTTCATAAACTCAAAAATATCTGATTCATAAATTTTTTTTTTGTCTTCTTCTTAATTCTATTTGTAAAGGTGTTTACTTCAGTCCAATGTCATCGACCATTGGCGAAAAACGAATTATGATTGAATGTGAAATGAACGAAGCGGCAAAATCTGTGATAAAATCCATGTTCCCATCAAATATATTGGAGGAAATTTCCTTAAGTGATACGTCAATCATTAAAACTCAAATTAAAAACGCTGCCAATTCGGTAGGCTCAAGTATTGATGGCATAAAGACCGAAAATAACGATGGCGTTTGTAATATTTTAATTTATCCACCAACTGGTAAAGGTTACTTTTTAATTATTATTGATTGTTTTACGACTATTTTTCGATTACTTATCGATTATTTTAAATTTTATTCTTTTCTTTTGTGATTCTCCCCTTAGGTAAAGGTGGCATACCAATCAATACAAAGGACTATGACTGTTTGGGCGTTGATCAATACTTGAACGATGTTATCATTGATTTTTATCTGAAATATTTGCATACGGAAATTTTGACCGATGACCAACGAAATAAAACGCACATCTTTAGTACATTCTTTTATAATACTTTAACAAATAACAAACTATTGGGCCCACCGAATGATGTAAAATTGACACCAGCTCAGAAGCGGCATGATCGTGTAAAAAATTGGACAAAACATGTAAACATCTTTGAAAAAGATTTCATAATTGTTCCAATAAATCAACAGTCTCATTGGTTTTTGGCCATTATTTGTTTTCCATCGCTTCGTACCGCGGTAACATTAGATAGTAATCAACCGGTTAAGGCAACACCAGTTGTTAAGAAGAAAACAGCAGCGGAGCGAAAAGAAGCGGTTGCGTTACAAATTGGTAACACAACCATTACACCCGTTTCTAAAAAGGAATTTGATTCCATTTGCCTCGATGACGAAAGCGAACGAGATGAAGCTGATGGCGATGAAAGTGATTTGGAAAGTGATGCTAGCGATAGTGAATCGACTGAACCACAGCCAGCTTTTCAACCCATTAAACAGTAGGCTAAATTAAATTTTTCCTTTGTTTTTTTTTATTTGTGAAATATTTTTTTTATACATTTTCTAATATGTTTCAATTAACTTCGTCGCAGGCCTTGCATTTTGGTATTTGATTCGTTGGGCGGTAAATCGCGAATTAAAGTGGTGGCGACGCTTCGCGATTATTTAACATGTGAATACAGAGCGAAAATAAAAGGTGGCAATGATCACACGTTTGATCGAAAAAATATTGTGGGTCATAATGTTAAAGTTCCTCAACAAACAAATTACACCGACTGCGGTCTCTATTTGCTGCAGTACGTTGAATCATTTTTCACGGTACGATATACAACTTTCTCTCTAGATTTATTTTAAGTTACATGTATTATGGAAATGTTTAAATTTGGACGTTTTTATTGTTGGTAATTTTTACTTCATAGAATCCTATAAAAACTTATCGCCTGCCTATTAAACAACTAATAGATTGGTTTGACACAATTGTGGTAACCAAAAAACGCGAAGACATTGTTAATTTAATTAAGAAGAAAATGGCGGAAAGCAACAAAAATATCACGTTGCCAGACATTCAACTGCCCACTGAAGATGGCTTATTAGTGACAATTCCTGACTTCATGGAAGAGCATGGCGAATTTGAAGAAGAAGAAGAAGATACGGAATCCGAACTGCCAGAGGTAATTTATAGTGAATATGAATGCTTTCGGTCAATTCTGTATGAATCATTATTGATTTATTTTATCTGTGTCATTTCAAAACATCAGCAGGAACCGCAACCACCGCAACAACAAGTTGTGCCAGAAAACGAACAAGAAAAATCTACACAGAAAAAACGGATATTTGTGCGAAAGCAACCAAACTCAAATGACAATGGAGAAGTTGCGATAAAAAAACGACGGACGTAAATGAAACAAAAGGTCTCTGTCCAGAAAAAGAGACAGGCATGCGTTTCATAGATATCATATGAATTAAAATTTAATTTATTTTTTATTAAAAAAAAAACGAATACTACAAATACACAGCAAAAAACCAACTACTTTTATAATCTATAGTATGAAATTTGATGATTTTTATGTAATCGTCACGTGAATGCAAATAACGACGTAATACAGAAATAACAATTGATGAAAAAGAATGAAATTGTACAATTAATGAATACAAAAGAGAATGAAAAAAAAGAAGAATTTCAAACGATCAACATTGTTTCAATGTTTTATTACATTAAAATCAAAAAGAAAAAATTAACTTTCGCACAGATTATCTTAATTGTTGATTATTTGAAGAGAACAACGAGCACTTAGTCTCTCTTTTTAATTTTAAATTTATATGTTCAGAAATTCACTGAAAAAACACTATCAAAACAATAAATAAGTTACTTTTATAAAAAGAAAATCATTATTTAATTGCATTTTTTAAAAAAATCTTTTTTACACTGTTTATGAGAATATTTCGCAACAATCACACCCCAATATTTTTATTGTAACGGCCTTCAACATTTTTGAATTAAATATAAGTGGTAATCAAAGATTCGAACCACAAAATATTCACACAATCATGGAATTGTAATCATGTCATGAACATGACACAAATACTCTTTTGACTTCTGATCGTCTGTTTCTTTCTCGCATACAGATATTCGCCGAATAACAAACGTTGGCCAAAGCGAGATAAGAGATACACATCCACTGTTCATGACATGAATAGTATTCATCACATAACCTCAACATCTGTTGTAACCATGTAACGCAATCAATCCAATTCAGATAAACGTTCAAGCCAAAATGCGTTTTGAAACGCGTACTCACATACATACATATATATATATTCATCATGTGTTCATTGATATAGATATGAAAATATTTGCTTTTTTTAATCATCTTTTTCATTCCTAAGTTGGGCAATGTAACATTAAAACACGCATTAAATTTAGATCGAAACGATGACTCCAACGCACGCAATGCAGTGTTGTTTCGACGGTGAATTCATTTATCCCATTAATATTTGCGATGCGATGATAATGCAATGTAAACAACCACACAGTGTTGAACGTGACGCATATTAACATTGACGTTTGTTGCCGCAGTGCTTTTCACAACCGTCACATTGGCATTACACACTGTGCATATTACATATTTTCATGTTTGTCTGTCTGACAAAAGTGTGTTTTTTTTTCTTCTTTTCCATCGTTCGTTCGTGTAAAGCGTTTGAAGTCTTCTTCTTCTTCTTTCTCAATGTGTGTTGATTCGATTCCATTTGTTCTTTCAGTAGAAATTCCAAAAGTGCATATGGCGTCTCATTAAACTACCTGTTCCGCTGACATCATTAAATAATATATTTTTTAACTCATCGATGGTGAAAATTTCATAAAAAATATAATTGTTCGAAACATATGAATACGTAGTACGAATTAAACAATTACAGATTGATAGTGCAAACGATATCAACGTCGTAACGAGAGAAATTTTTTTTAAATAGTTCTGGCTCTCATTTTGAAAGTTCAGTTCTCTACATTGCTTTAGGTGAGTGTAAAATAAGTAAATAAATACATGAACACAACCTAAAAACGGGTTGCTTTAAAAAAAAAAAAAATGACAATTGATGATATGATTATTTTTTATAAACTTGTGAGCCGAATTTCATTTTTTTTATATATATTTGGATTGCGATTTTGTGAGAGTTGTATATTTTCAGTAACATATTCCAGTTGTAGTGTGATTGAATGGTCAAAATACAATGGTCAGGAATATGCAATTTGCTAATACAATTTCAGATTATTTTTTTACATATCGACACGGATTACTAACATTAAAAACCAAATGTATGTGTTGTCTCGTTTTAAATGACCAAATACCAAAATATAAAGGCCTCTTTCTATCTCAATGGATGTCGTTTCCATTTTTAGATCTCCAAAGTTCGGTTTTCGCTTTATTTTATCACATTCATACGGATGAAATTAAAAGGTAGTGCATTGTAAATGTGCACGTAAGTGTCAGAAACACGTTCAAAGTTTTTGAGTGCTAAAATATCAATTCGAAAAATAATTTTTTGTTTAAGAAATCCAACTAAATGAAGTGAAACCAATTGATGCAAGTGAGAGATGAAATAGCAAAAATAACGACGGCAAGAAAAATTGTCACCAATAAAAGCAAAAGGAACATGTGGGCAAAGTGCCAAATATATCTATATCTCCTTTTTTATGTGGCAACAAACGTGTCTTTATCTCTCTTTTACACGTTCAACTCTCTATTTTCAGCTTATCGCAAAAATCGATTGTTCAAATCAAATTATTTCATTCTTTGCAATGGATTTTTTATTATCTGCTATGCACCTGGCTTAACAATCGGCAACTCACAGCAATTGATGTAATGTGCTGATCTCCACAGGGCTATAGCCCTGATTTACCTTCTGTTCCTTTTTTGTTCACTCGTTTTGTTCGTAAATTCAATTGAAAGCTATTACAACGGAGAAATTAAAGTAAAAAAAAAAATCAAAAATTCGATTTAATTTCAGTTTTGCCCAATTTGCAGTATGTCGTTTGCGTATATCGGACAACTCATTTTTTGGGTTTTTGCGTCGTGTCTCATTTCATTTGTTCACATGCCTCACGAGGCATATTCATTCTTTCTTTGTTTCTCGTACGATTTGTTTCGAAATTTTTTGATAGCAACATTATCAATACAGAAATTCCCTTTTTACTCATATCGGAATACGCATTAATTCTAATACGGTTCAAAAATTGCAAAATAAAAATCGAAGACGAAAAATAAATACATACAATGACAAAATCTTAAATTAACAATCTGAAGCATTGTAATCATTTATAGTATTTACTAATATTTGGTTCGCTGATTGCTACAATGCGAATGACCCGAGCAGTTTATTACTATTATTATTGCCGCATTTATTGTTCGATTTTCGTTATTTTGTTTTTATCGTGTCGAGTGGAAAGAAAAAGAATTCAAAGTTGATTGTATCAACAAAGTATGAAACTTTGTCACATACAATACTATAACACTAAAATATACAACATCAGAATAAATAATTTTCCATTTACAATACAAGTTCTTCCAATAATAGGCTATTTGCTGATCATTTTATTTGTGTGCGTTATTATTATTTTTTTCATTTGCTTTTCAACAGTTTCAGTCAGCCACGCAATCGCAATCGCAATGGATAGCCCATGTGAATCGGAAAGCTCATTGGATGGCGGAGTTATGTTACCGCCGAGTCCAGTATCACGTGAACAATTACAAAAGCGCATCGAAAGTCTTACTCAACAAAATAGGTGAGAGGTTAACATTTTTTTTTTGCACAGACAAGCAAAGTCAAACAAACAAATGAAATTTATTTGAATAAAAAAGTGTTGTTGTTTTTCAATGAATCCTTTCCAATAAATTCTCTTTCATATAGAGTACTTAAGGTTGAATTGGAAACATATAAAATACGCGTGAAAGTACTACAAGAGGAGAATCGATCACTTCGACAGGCTTCTGTGATAATTGTAAGAAAATACATATTTTACTAATCGCATTAATTTCAATGTCATTTTTTTTCGGATTTGACCTCAAATTTTCTAATGTTTTTCATTTTTGTTTTTTTTTATTAATTGAAGCAAGCAAAAGCCGAACAAGAGGAAGAATACATTTCGAATACTTTATTGAAAAAGATAACAGCATTAAAAAAAGAAAAGGAAACACTGGCCCATCATTATGAGACTGAAGAGGAATGTCTAACTAATGATTTGTCGCGAAAATTGGACCAATTGCGTCAGGAAAAATGTAAATTGGAGCAGACACTAGAGCAGGAGCAAGAATGTTTGGTCAATAAATTGATGCGTAAAATTGAAAAACTTGAAGCTGAAACATCGGCCAAACAATCGAATTTGGAGCAATTGCGCCGCGAAATGGTCGAATTAGAAAACACATTGGAGCAGGAACAAGAGGCTTTGGTAAATAAACTATGGAAACGAATGGACAAATTGGAGACAGAAAAACGATCATTACAAATTAAATTAGATCAACCGGTATCCGATCCAACGAATCCAACGACATTTAAAGATACCAGCAATGGTGATACGGCCACGAATCTCAGTTCACACATACAACATTTACGATCGGAGGTATTGTTAGTGTGACCAAATCACCTATATATTTCTATGTCTATTATTTTTAACAAAATTCCAGTATAATTACATTTTTTTTGTTTCTCCAGGTATTACGATTACGCAGCAATTTAATGGACGCCCAAAAAGAGACCAATCAAAAGATGCAACAATTTGCCCAAGAAGAAAAAACAATTCGTGAAGAAAATCTACGACTACAACAAAAGCTACAGGCTGAAGTTGAACGACGCGAACGACTTTGTCGACATCTATCCGAATCAGAATCCTCATTGGAAATGGATGAGGAGCGCTTTTATAATGAAAACTTTAATTTAGCAAATCATCGACAGCGCACAATAAGTAGCCCGGTACCAAATAGCCCGTCCAGTAGTCGTCCATTGAGCCCGGGTAGTGTGGCATCCGGTCGTTGCTACGCTTGCGGTCAACTATTGGTAAGACCATTTTGTTTCTCGATAAAATATTCAATAAAATAATGATTTTTACATTGTAAATTAGGAGGCGAGGTTGTAATGTTCGGTTTGTTTTATTTTCTGTTTTTGTGACACAGGGCCGACGAACAAGCGAGCGTTTTATAAAGCCAGCTGTGCCAACAACATCACTTTGCTTGAACACATCAGCACCGAATGTGATGTCGTCCATGTCTTCGGGCAGCGGCTCAAATCCACTGAATATAGGCTTACACAATGTTACACTGCCAGCTAATATTAACAATTCAAATGCATTTGCATCGTCAAACAACGCATTGACACAACCAGCAAGTCCAATGGACACATCGGCTTACACAAAAGACTAAACTCAAACTTAATTAGAACAAGGGGAAAAACGACATTAAAAAATGGACACATACACATACACACGACTATGAAATCAATTTAAATCCATAACTAAGCTAAAATGTTAATGAGGTATGAACATATTTCGCAGGGAGAAACACCACATCAACATTACTTACACATAAAAAAAAATCCATGAACACAAGTTTTCGAGATGAGAAGAGGCCACAAATAATCAGTTTAAAAAGAAGAACTTACTTTTTTTTTTAATTTTTCCATCATTTCTTATAATTATAATCATTTTTTATCGTCGTCGGTGTTAGAAATTCTTCATTAAAATGTTTCGATGGATTTGTGCAGTAAAAGAGAAGGTGATTTAAACTCTATTTGTTGATATAATCAAAATCCACTGCAGAAAATTCTAAAACGAATAAGTGAAGAAAAGAATTTAGTTTATGTAAATACATGAAATGCAACTAAATAATGATAAGATAAATAAAGCAACAAAACAAATTGTAACAACATCATCATCAACAAATCAACAACACCAAATCAAACAATTATAAGTAAACGATTGATTCGATCAGTTATTGTTAGAATTAAATGTAAAAGACTCAATGCGTCAAACGACTGAAACCAGAAATCAACGTCGATGATATACTTTCTTTTATGACTAATGTCTGATTAAAAATTATTATTTAAACTCATAAAAATGAAATGAAAATATTTCATGTTCATCAAATGAAACATATATCCGAAAGGATTGGATATCCTTTTGCAGAAGGAGTCCAAAGCAATAAATTAAATTCGCGCAGGTCATGTTCCATACAATGGAAGTGATTCAAATTTATTTCGGTGGCTGTTATTTTTGTTTTCGTATTTAGATGGATATTGAAATGGCTTTGCTTTGCTTTTCTATGTTATGTTGAAAACGTTTGAATCGGATAGTGAGAAGTATAAAGCTATAGCTTTATAAAGCGCGTGGATGGTAAAAATAATACATTTTTTAAATCAATTTATTATATTATAATACATGTTTGAAGACATTTTATTATAGTTTTTCCTTGCAACAAAATCTAAAATTATGTCCAATTTACAAAATCTGTTCAACTCATTTTCGGCTATTGAATGAAATCGTTTTGAAAAAAAAAATAAACACACACACACACACACAAAATTTAAGTATTGCTATTAAAAATAAATAAAAATCTATTGGAAATTTATACAATAAAATTAACGGCGAAGTATAAATACACACGACACAGCACACATACATTATGTTGAAAATAATTTGAAAAAAGAAAAAGAAAAAAAAAATTATTTGCTCATAAAAAATCGAAAATAAAGTGCACGTTCACATTATAATTAAAATAATTTCTTTTTCTTTTTATTACGAGGGTCACTATTTAAGTTTTTTCAAAAACATATATAAGACAATGGGGTTTCATCGAAAATGGTTTTATTGTTTTTCAAAATATTCGCCATGATGATCAATACACTTTTGCATTCGCTCGAACCATTTGTCATAGCATTCATGCCACTCCGAAAGTGATATCTCCAAAACGTGTGTTTTGAACGCATCAACTGCTTCTTCGGGCGATGAAAATCGTTGACCACGCAGTTTATTCTTCACGCTCGGGAATAAAAAGAAATCGTTGGGTGCCAAATCAGGACTGTACGGCGAATGACCCATTAAATCGATCTTTTGACCGGTCAAATAATCGACTGTTTGATGAGATGTGTGAGAGCTCGCATTATCATGATGAAGAATTATTTTGCGACGGCGGTTGTTTTTTCTTATTTCATCAAACACTTCGGGCAAACAAATGGTGGTGTACCAATCAGAATTGACGGTCTTACGAGCCTCTAGTGGAACTGTTGCCACATGACCACTTATCGCGAAAAAACAGGCGACCATTTGCTTCGCAACACTTCGAGCTCGAACAACTTTTGTTGGGTTATCTTCACTTTGAAAGACCCATACAGTCGACTGCTGTTTAGTTTCGGGCTCATACGCGTAGATCCATGATTCGTCACCAGTGACGATAAAATACACGGATTTTGAAACACCACGATTGAATTTCTTGAGCATTTGTTTACACCAATCGACACGAGCCTTTTTTTGAGCGATTGTCAAATTATGTGGTATCCAACGAGAGCAAATATTTCTGACAGCTAAATGTTCATGTAAAATCTTAAATACGCTGGTCGCACTAATGCCCAGGGATGCCTCAATCTCGTGATATGTTACATGACGATCTTCCATTATCATATTTCTGACAGCATCGATGTTTTCTGATACAACAACTGATTTTGGACGACCTTCGCGGAACTCGTCGATGAGCGATAGGCGACCGCGCTTGAATTCGTTGTACCAATTATAAATTGTCCGAAGACTTGGTACTTCATCGCCAAAGGCCAAATGAAGTTGATCAAAACACTGTTGTTGTGATACACCCAATCGAAAGTGGAAAAAAATAATCGCTCGAAAATTTTCACGAGTAAAATTCATTTTTTGGCTGAGACGCAATTTACATGTTACGGTAAACAATACAAATAACGATCGAATGACAAAACGTTCTGAGAACGTTTATGCTACAAAATGTTAAACTTAACGAATATGACAATGGTTTGCATCGGGCAATACTAAAACATACATATTGAAGAAACTTAAATAGTCGCCTACGTATCTGCATAATAATATAGTTTTGCCACCGCAAATGTTAGACCGGCATTTGTTTGGCACAGTAAAAGGAAAATCACTTTAAAGCAGTCTATGTATTTCGGATGGATATCCATCCGAGATATTTTAGAATATCTGGATATTCAACGCAACTACACAGCGCCAGAGCTGTGTGTGTCGCAAATAAAATCTACGGTATGTCGCGACGTATATGTGTATCAAGTGCCGCACGTACACAGTCACACTGTGTCTGTATTTTACGTGTAGCGACATACCGTAGATTATATGTGTGACGCACACAGCTCTGGCTCTGTGCAGTTGCGTTAAATATCCAGATATTCTAAAATATCTCGGATGGATATCCATCCGAAATACATAGACTGCTTTAAAGATTTTCAAACTTGAAAATGTATATGAACACAGTATGCTACGAACTACTTCGCACTCCTGCTGTAGAGAGAATAAGTAGACAAATAATGAAATAATATAATAAATCTGGATGATTTGTTTCTTTCATCTAGCTTGAATTACACAATTTGTAATATATTAAAGCGTTGATAGATATCCATACTCACCAAATAGTCACAACTTCACCACAAAGTTTAATCTTCTGTTCCGAACACATTTTCAAAAACAGATATTGGTCTATTCAACTTTTTAAAGAAAACAACGAGTTTGACTTTATCCTTTATGGGTCTTTTTATAAATTCTTCTTAAAATATAAGAAAAAGTAATTCAAACATAAAAATCCTAATTGGCCGATGTGGCTCGTTTCAACAAAAACGTAAGAGATATTTTGTATGTTTTATATTGACATTCGTAATGGTTTCTATTCTTCTTTTAATAAAACGATGCTACAACCAAATTATCGGATGATTTTGTAAATAGATTTGATTGAATTTTATTTTAAATATTTGATGAAAAGAATTGAAATTAAAAGCGAAATTTCACATTATATGTATAAAATTATGTAAATTATCCTACAATATCTTCCCGTGCTCTTTATTGAAGCTCTTTTAGTAAACGGCAATATACATCGACATCATCTTCGCCAAAATCAATAAACTCAATCATCAATGTATCCAATTTGATGTTTGAATTTTTGAACAAGTTTCTGTTTGACCAGAAAAATTCCTTAATTGTTTTGTTTTGCTCAATGAATGTTTTATAGCTGGTTATTCTTCATCATCACACCATCTAATTTCCAAATGTTCCAACGCTGGGTAGATTTTTCGTGGCAATATTTCTTCGTGCACCATAAACCTTTAAGATTTGGCAAAGCAGCATAACATTTAATAGCTGCAAAGGCACTTATTTCTACGCGTTCGAATTTAGTTACCAAATGCATCTTATTAGGTGCAGAAACTAGATAATCATCAACCAGGACGTGTTGTAACAAATTGATGAAACAATCTATCTTAACAATGCCAAGGTAAAAACTATCTTTATAAAAAACGCTTTTTCGGCTCCATAGTGGAAACAATGTCCCGCAATTCGTTTCATTCGTTTACATGTTTGGCCCACTGATACAAGATCGGTCAGCGATAAATAGTCGAACACTTCTTCGAAACAATCGATGGTAAGTTTGAAAATATCAGCTAATTGTTGTTCCCCGTTCACAGCAACAACGACACGTTCAATACGATTAATCTCTTCATCATTCAATTTTGTCATCTTGGCACTTGTTTCACTTAGGTCGGCATTTCGTATTTGACTCAACTCTACTTTGCCGGTCTATTGATTTAATGAAACAAAAAATTCTGATTTAATGAACGAAATCATTTTTAATCAATAAAAATCAGCACAAGGACTATAATGTCTCGTGTGATATAATGTAATACAATCGACTCTGTTAGTATTTCATAGTATGTTGTATTATTTATGAGTCTTATGTAAAATATTATCTGGGTGTGCCAATTAATTTTAAAGGATTTTTGTGTGAAAAGATACATTTATTTGAAAACAACTGTACAATATTTTTTAACCAATGTATTGCCCATCGTTAGCTTTGACTTCCGCCCATCTTCTTGGTAACTTGTCGATTCCGCGTCGAAAGAATTCCTCATCTTTTGACGCTATCCATTCATCGATCCATTTTCGCACTCCTTCAGGATTTCGAAACGATATCTCACCAGTAAACATATCGAAGTGTTAAAAAAAGTTTTAAATTTCCTTAGTACAGATCGATATAAAGTGGCGAAAAAATAAGTATGTGAAAATAGGGGGTGCCCATACCATGAGGGGGGGTCGGGGGAGCACCCCACCATGTCAAAATTTGGTCGGATCAAAAAATAATGTACTACAAAGTTGTTCAGAATGACGAGAGAAATTTTTTATGACCCCTGCCCTCCAAGTCCCCCCACCCCCCAGGGGGGTCGGGGGTCAAAAACCCCCAAGACATGATTTTTTTTACTCGAAATCTCGAAATTCGGAATCAGCATCCCAAATTACCCTAGAAATGATATTTGTCTCGTGCCCATTCACCCCAAGTCTCCCAACAACAAAGAGCCCCCCCATTGGGGTAAAATGATACAAAGTCGATTTTTCACATTTTGGGTGAGGAATTTTGTACTCAAATGTATGGCCAACTATAACTAATTTTATCCGCACATTTCATTTAGGCCATTGCCCATCCCCTCCCATCACCCCCAAGGGGGGTCCCCCTACAAAATTCACGAAAATTTCGAAAAATACCCCGAAATCGGGTCCATATCCAATCTAACCCCAAAATTAATAACATATTCGGATTCCTCGTGAAAAATTACCTATAGGCCCCATACATTGTCAATCTCCCTTGACATATGTTTAACTCCATCTAACTTGAACCTTTAATTCGGGTCGAAAACTAAAAATACCCCATTTCATTGTGACTTCACAATGGAATATTCACCCCTTATGACTCAAATGGGCATTTAGGTTTCTTCTAATGAAAGTTACGCATATCAATGTAGTTTCCATTGGCATATAGTTTTGGCCGCCCTGAATGACCCAATTCGGAGGGCGGGGGTCAAAATAATATAAAAAATCAGGATACTCTGATTTTGATAAATCCTTCGACTATTTCTTGTCGCAGTTTTTTTCAATTTTTCTCTCAGTATTCTGCCCAAACGCATTGGTTGTAGTCGATACCGATCCCCCGTGACTATTTCACCAGGTTTCAGCAGCTCATTATACACCACACCACTTTAATCCCACCAAATAATAAGCATTACCGAGAAATCATCAAAATCCTGCTTTTTTCGACCCAAAAATTCGGCTTCAGCATGCCAAAAAACCTCTGAAAAGTGTTTTTTCCAGATGCCCTCCGAGCAAATTTTTACAAAAAAGCCGAATTTTTGGGTTTTAGGTAAAAAAATCGGGGGTTAAGGGGTTATGACCCCTGACCCCCCAGGAGGTGGGGGGAGTTGGAGGGCAGCTGACGAAAAAATGAAGTAAACGACCATTTTTGCCAGTTTTTGTATGTAAATCGTATCAAAATGTTATTATATCGCAAAATAAATGTCAAAAATGGATTCCCCGTACCAATCTACTACAACGCCCTATTCACGAAGTTCATATCAGACAAAGTCAATTTTTTTTGTCGTACTCTAGCTAGAGTACAAGTACTTGCTAGAGTACAAATTGTAAAAATATATATTATTGAAAATAAAAATAAAAAATGAAAAAATAAAATAAAACATTTTTTTTAATTATACAAATCAAGAAAAAACCATTTTTTCGGTTTTTCATTAAAACATTTTCTTTTCAATAATATTTTTACCTCGTTTAAGTAACTAGAGTAATACTCTAATAGCTAGAGTATTTTGTTAAGTATTGGGTGTATAAATTAATTTTTATTGACAACATCTATATGTCGCCACTTAGACTTGAATGAAGATTGACAGGTGAATCCAATTGAATTTTGTACATATGACATTTTTCAATCTAATTCAGATCGGAAAGGTTTATTTTTCATACAGTACCATTGTTTTTGAATCGATCTAAAATGAATCGTAGTAAGGAATTTTTTCGTGCAGCGCTACTTCTGTTATTTGATATCAAGGAAAGTGCCGCTGAAGCACATCGGCTGCTGCGTAGCACTTATGGCAAATAAGCACCGTCGGAAGATAGCTGTAGAAAATGGTTTCAACGATTTAAAAGTGGTGATTTTGATTTGAAAGACAAAGAACGGCCAGGTCAACCAAAAAAGTTTGAAGATGAGGAATTGCAAGCATTATTAGATGAAAACTTGGCCCGAACGCAAAAAGAACTTGCATTGGAGTTAAATGTGACCCAAGCAACCATTTCCATGCGCTTGCATGCAATGGGAAAAATTCGAAAGCTAGGAAATTGGGTACCACATCAACTGAATGAAAATCAATTGAGAGCACGAATCACAGCATGCAAACAGCATCTTGCCGAGCACAAAAAACATAGTTTTCTGAGTCGAATTATTACTGGCGATGAAAAGTGGGTCTATTACGATAACCCAAAACGTAAAGGAGCGTATGTTGATCCAGGCCAACCAGGACCATCGCAGCCAAAACGAGACATTCATTGCCAGAAGGTCATGTTGTGCATCTGGTGGGATCAGAAAGGAGTAGTGTATTATGAGCTGCTAAAACAAGGTGAAACGGTTACAGCTGATCGCTATCGACAACAATTGAACAGATTGGCACGTGCATTGAACGAAAAACGGCCATTAGTAGCGAGAAAAAACCACAAAGTTTTGTTTCACGACGACAATGCTAGACACATCGTGAAACAAAAGATAGAGGCGTTCGGTTGGGATCAGCTTGATCATCCTGCGTACTCTCCAGACCTTGCTCCTTCTGATTATTCTTGTTCCGATCGATGCAAATGGGCTTGTCTGAGATATCGTTTAGAAATGCTGAAGAAGTGCGAAAATGGGTCGATCAATGGATAGCTGGAAAAGATGAGGAATTCTTTCGACGCGGAATCGACAAGCTGCCAAGAAGATGGGCCGAAGTCATAGCTAACGATGGGCAGTACATTGGTTAATGTACTCATTCTTATTATTTTTAAATAAATGTTTCCTTTCACCAAAAAAACAATAAAAATTAATTTATACACCCAATATATTGGAATATATTGGTGGCATATTCATATATATTTGTTTATATTCTTTTGCGAAGTTGTTTCGCAATCTCCCCCTAGATGATCTATATTGCATGATAAAAATCAAAATAATTAAAAAATTAAAGACAACGACACCAACAATAACATCACAAAATACAACCAATCAACTACGGTTATTTGTGGTAAAATTAAAAATTTTTAATCGATACAAAACTCACTCTTTTGGATTATTATAAAAAAATGATTTAGTTTCGACTCTTCTGGGTGAATGAAACAGCTACATTTTGAATTTTATAACGTATGCCGGATATTTAAATTGTTTAAATATTTGAAATAATTTTTTTTATCATCAAGCAATTAACACCATTCGTTAGATGTTGTGTGATTAATTTCGCATTTCATGTAGCACATCGAATATGAACCGTTATTTTGAGATATGAAGCATGTGAAATCGTTAACTATCACAATTTTATTTTAAATGTCATTGCTATCGATTAGTCACAAATTCTAATTATGTATAAATTATGTGGTCCAAATCACTGATGAAAATAAGATGAACCAACTTACCTTTAATTTCAATCGAATAATGAAAAAAGCAAATACAAAATCAAAAGACAAGTTGAAGTCGGCGCGTTCTGATTGCTTTTGAAGTTTTTACATTTCAATTACCAACATATTGTGGTCGATACAATGTATCGCCTGTCCGTTTGTTTACGTTTCATTGCGTTAGTTGCGTTATTGTCATTTCGCTCGTTTGATTCGGTTTGTTACAATTATACATATACACATTCACGCATACTTACACGTGTTAGTTCGACATATAACGGTTAAAGAGCCCATGATGACGTGTGCAATGCCATGGTATGGGTGTATATCAATTGATAGAGTATGCGATGTGCTGCGGCTAGGCGACAGCATTAAGCTACCACTATTTGAATGTACGTACATGTGCCTGGCTATAATGCATATGTTTTTCACTTGACGTTTGATCAATGAGCAATGTAGCAATTAGTCTTGAATTTACACTATTGAGTAACGCACAACAAAATTGTTTTCTCATTTATTTTATATTTGAGTCGTTCTCGTTTTGCACATATACATATTTTCGATTCATTAGCCTTAAAATACCTTTCATAAATTTGTGAAAAGTGAAATCGAGTGTTATGAACAATTTGGCCAGTGTGCAAATTTGAATGACACATTCTCTGATGTGAAAACACACACACACACACCAATAACAAATCTCGTGGAAAATCCAATTCGAAAAATTAAAAAAAAAGAAACTAAATTTCGTATGCGTTTCAAATGAAATTAATATTCAGCATTGTTTATAAGCATCTTTGCTTTCTCTAAATGAAAAACAGAACGACAAATCTATTGATAAAAATTGAAGTGCATCGGAAAATCAAAACGTGAAACTGAAAAATAAACGAACAAAAAGAAACAAAACAAAATCAAATCAAAATGAGTAATGATGCGTTGAACGTGTTAAATTGGACCGAAGATAATGTTTCACAGTATTTAAAACGAGAGCAAATTACTGATACAAAATTTTTGCAATGCATTCACGATGAATGTATCGATGGCAAAAGTTTGTTAGCGTTGAGTGAACGTGATGTTCGCGATTTAAAATTGAAATACTCACATTTGCGATTGGGTGATCTCAAGCATTTTTGGATTGCTGTGCGCCAATTGCAAAAAGAGAATCATACGAATTTAGTGAATTTAGGTTTAGTTGAAACAACATTCGCTGGCTATGTCAGTCATCAACAGCAGCAAACCCATAATCATGGTCATCATCATCACCACCATCATTTTTCGTGCTGCTCGGATATCAGCGGTTTTCATGACATGGAACGAATATCACCACCACTTTCTGTGGACGGACGCGCCACCAGTATTAAACCAGAAATATTTAAAACTATGATTAGTTTAGGTGAGTCACATATATATGCTATGGTTTTTTCTTTTGTTTCATTTTACTAGTGAAAGTACCTTATCTCATTTCATCTTTTCCCCATGGTTGTCCAAATGTCGTGTAACGTTCATAAACAAATCGATTATCAAGCGATTTAAACCAAATCCATAAAACTAACACGTGTTTTAAGATTTGCCTAGTTGTTGGTTTAAGATTAATTACCGCCAACAAGTTTAATTTTAACTGCCAATCAAAGAGCCGAAGTAAATACGTTTTGTTGCCAATTTTTGTTATCAGTTCAAAGGTTCAATTGGCATTGACGACGTTTCATTGCTGGGTTTGTTATTCGTTTTGTTGATCAACACCTTTTTGCGTGTTCTCACTAACGTCGATGGTGATATACGCGAAAGGTTGACGATAATTATCGTTGGCAACAATGATTTTTTTTAAATACTCCAATACGGCCACAGTTGAATTGACAATACAATTTATGCCTCGATTTGTTTTTTTGTGCTTATTTTGCATCGAATAAAGAAAGAAAGCATAAAGCAAAACCAACGCTTTGTGACTTAAGTCATAATTATGAATGTGAATGTAAAAAAGAAAATCAAAAATGTATTTTGCAATAGTTCCGTTCCGTCATCGTTTGAATAGTCAATTTGTTTGATTTATTAGTATGAATGGCAATATGATATTCAAAATGGTCAGTAAATGAGAGACAGTGGGGTAAATAAAAAAGTGCGCATCGACAAATAGTCGCCCATAAAATTGTGAACGATGTTAATTTACAATGTTTACCATTTGCATACACACACACACACACACACACACACACACACACACAAAACCACTTGTTCAAATACGAACAAGTATATATATATATAAGTATAATGCTGCAATGGCATAAAATATTCAACGCAAAAAAGGTATAACGATAACGTAATTCATTTCTTGCTCTCTTTCAGCTCGAAAAAAAATATATTTTTTCTGTTTACGCACTTCATTTTCAATTCACGATACGCTATCGCAAAATCAAACTCATGGATGGCAAATATGTCACATGAATAATTACACCGTGGTAACGTAGTGCTTTTCATGCATTGAACATTCACCGATACACACACATGTTTCTTCCACCTCTATTATCTCTATCGATCGTTAAACGTGCAAACACGAGCCAAATGTAAGTACAAGCGGAAAACGTATAAATAAATTGCGATAATCGGGAACATAACAAAAATGAGCAAACACTTGAGATTTCATGCGCCATATACACGATTCAATACAGATCCTTCGATTGAAATTACACAATAATATCATAAAAGTCATCAACTCTCGTCTAAATTATACATTTTATATTATCGAAATCCATTTTGTATTTGTTGGATTGCGTGATTCACTTAAAATAGCGGGAAATACAATTGCAAAGAGATATGGAGAAAGAGATACTCAGAAAATAATGACAAACATGAGAGCACAAAGCGCAGCATTTTAAAAAGATCTGTTGCGCTCTGTGGAATCGTTTGAAATATGAACAATGAAACAGCTGATTCACCAATACTGATGTTTGTTGACATATGTCTCAAAATACACAATATTCTAAGATCTCAAATGCAGTTAATGATGACAGTTTGTGTGCATGAATAATAAATTTATAAATCTAGCAATTTTTAAATGATATCTCAATGGAAACCAGTTTCGGATACTTGAACATTTTTATTAAGAAAATATATTTGTCGGTTAATGTCAATGACTCGAGTTATGTTATAAACCAGTCATTTAGAGGAATACATTGTGTGCATGCCAAATAATCTCCGAAACCGATATTTATTAATTGTTTTATGCATTTTTTGGTTGAATTAGCTCCAAATAACATGTGTATCATAAGTTTTGTCACAAATTCATACGTACGCTATTCAAACACCAAAGAAGCATTTTGATAATTTCTCTCAGTGGTATTTAGCTTTATTCATGAGCAATCCGAAAACACATTTACAGTACACTAAATGGACCATTGTCTTCAATTTTTCGAAGTGTGTATCGAACCATCAAAATTATGTTCTGGACAACCGATTTGTCGATTTCCATCAACTTTCTCTCAAACATGCCCACTAATTGTTGCTCGTTTCAAGTGTTTTGAACCTTCGCATATAACATACATCCAAAATCAGACGAGAAATAATAAATTTGGTTTCTTTTTGTGAAGTTAAAAAGATGGCCATTTTTTCATGGAAATGCTATTTTTTAAAAAGTGAATCATTATTGTGGTTTTTTCTTCTTGCAAAGCACAATTTTGTCTTTAATCAGATAGTTCTCAATGAATGCCATCGATTTCAACAAAGTTAGATTTGTTGACGTCTCTAGCCTTATATAGTAGTGCCCTAACATAATCAATACAAAAGAAACCACTTGCATTTGATTCATGGTTCGATATAGCGATGAATGTTTCACTATGCAAAATGATGAATTTTTCAGTGCAACATGCTATAGGGTGAAGTAAACACCCAATTTTTGACACTCTTTGGAATTTTTTCGTTACTTATTTTGCTGATTTCTAATGATCGTGTCTAAATCTATTGTTTTGATTCAAATTTGGATGTGCTGTAACCATTAGAATCACCAAAAATGAATGTTTGCTTGACCAACCCGGTTTTCGGTACTTGATGACAATTTCGAACAAAGCACGACGATAATGACAGCTCGGCAACGCTCTATTAGAGATTAGTACCGCTGGCAACCGCAGAACTATATAGAATCATATGGAGTCATTTGGTGGCGCTGGCAAGCAATTTTGCCTTATCGTCATGCTTTGATTTCGAAAGCATTCAGATTGGGAATACGACCGGACTTTTTGGTTTTTCAAAAATCTTTGTCTTCATATTGAATCCATGAAACACGATACATGGTTCGAAGACAGATTGGAACATCTTTGGACACATGCTGAATTTGTTTTGAACTTAGCTGTCCAAAATCATTTGAGACACTTTTTCGTAAATACAATTTGTACGTCATCGCGAATGGAAATTTTTGTGCAAATTGTGTTTGACAGTAGAGTAGGAGGCCGATTAAGTCTCCTATGTGCATTGGTTGTCATTTTTGATTTTGTTTATGTAGCGCAATAAACGCCTGCAAGTTGTGACAAAACTTATGATACACGTGTTAAGTTATTGGGACATTGTTTATTGTCATTATCATTGAATTTTGTGATTAGGAGTAATAGGAAAGAAAAAAAGGAAAGAAGTGCAAGTAAACATTTAAATGTGATTGCTATCAACTCAAATGACTTGGACTTTTTTGTTTTGTTTAAAAAAGAAATACATTATGTATTCGGAAAACACACTTTATTTAAATAAATAGATACAATCAATTCTTTTCGTTCATAGTTTTATGAGCTTTTATAACCATTTCATCTTCTTTAGAAAACCAGCTTCTGCTGGTTAAGAGTTCTTTCGCTGATGGACGTTCTTTTGGATCACATTTTAGTGTTTCGCGAACGATGTTTTTAGCCTCATACGAAATATCATCCCATTTTTCGTTGAAATTTAATTCATCTTTTAAATGTGGTGGAAATTGTCCGGAAAGACAAAGATATAATATTACACCAAGACTCCAAATATCCACTTTATTTGTGTAATTCGCTCTTCTCACTTCGGGTGCTTGGTAACGGAGTGTACCACATTGCGTTGATAAAATTCCATTTGAACTGGTCACACGTTTGCTTAGACCAAAATCTGATACTTTGACCGATGTATAGTCGTCTATCGTTGCCAAAAGAATATTTTCCGGTTTTATATCACGGTGTGTTACATGTTGTTCATGCATATATTCAACACCACAAAGGATTTGATACAAAATGAATTTTGTCAGAGGTTCAGAAAGGTACGTTTTACTTTTGATACGATTATATAGATCACCGCCTTCCATATACTCAATAAAAATGACGACCGATTCTACATAGGTTTTAACGGTGTGCAATGGTAAAATGCATGGATGTTTTAGTTGCCCTAAAATATAAACCTCTTTCAGAAGATCAGTGATTTTGTTCTCATTTCCATTGTTTGTGGTATATTTCAATGCAAATGGCTGACACGTTATACGATTTTGTACAAAATACACCTTTCCATATGCACCACTACCTAGGAGAGAATCACAAAAGAAAAGAATAGAAATAATTTAAAATAATCGACAAATAATCGAAAAAGAATCAATAACAATTATTAAACAATAGAAATGCAATTTTTAAGTGAATTGCCAATGCACCATTACCCAATTCACGGCCAATGTGATAATCTTTGAATATATCATTTTGTATAGTTTCCGGAAAAACTTGTGCAATCGATTGCAATAAAAGAAACTCAAAGCATATTGTTGGATGCTTTTGAATAAAAATAGAATCCTTGTGGCCAAGTATTCGTCGCTTGATCTTCTCATCGATTCGCTGGAAATTTTCACATTTCTGGAGTTCAATGTTGTTTTTTTCTTGGTTAACAAACGTCCCGTTCGTTGACAAATCCTGAAAATGTTTTAAAAGTAAATGAACAACTCAGGAAGGTAAAAGCAAATTTTAAATGTAGAATAATTTGGAAATTACCTCAATGATAACTGGACAATATTGATCGTTCACATCTTCTTTTGTGATTGAAAAATGGATGCTTGATATTTCCTTTAACCTGTCATTTGGTATGTTGTCTCTAGTGTCATTTATGAGACCGCAAACGTTTAGGTCACCTTTTCGACCAATCGTTGTCCTTTCTTTCACCAAATCTGGATAAATTTAAAGGTAGTAAAAATTCTATTAGAAATGCACGCACATCTATGTGTTGGAATGAGCGAGAAAATAAATTAGAAAAACTTACCACATGTACCGACTAGTTTCAATTCCTTGGGAACCCAAACAGCCATGCCTAATCTTTTTCGTTCAACTTTATATACTTTGAGTTTTCCCCATGGCTCTGGTTCGGGTTGATGTTCTGCGGTGTCTTGACTTTCATAAGAATTTTTATATGTGCCACTTTGTGTTGTCATTTGACTCAAATCGATCATTTCCTCGTCGTCTGACATTTTTGTTTGTGTTTTTACAATAAATTAATAAAAATTTGCTTCGACGAAATGAAAAGACTTCAATTCAAACAAATTGAGTTTGACATTTGTACAGATGTGTTCCGCTTGACATTTGATACGATTTTTCAAAATGTCTGCCACATAGCGAATTTTTTAAAGCGGGATGTTAAAACGTTGCGAATTGATGAACTGAATTGAAAAAGAGATCATTTTTTTAAATATTTATTTTATTCTTTGTTTAAATCTCTTTTATAGGTTATGCATTTTTGGTAACATGGATAACAGCATTTGTGATGGTCGTCGTACATGAACGTGTACCTGATATGAAACGCTATCCACCATTGCCGGATATTTTTTTGGATAATGTACCGCATATCCCATGGGCCTTTCACATGTGTGAAATCACCGGAACGTTATTGTTTTTGATATGGACATGTGTTTTGATCGTACATAAACATCGATTCGTTTTATTACGTCGCTTTTTTGCATTATCTGGCACAGTATTCCTATTGCGATGCGTTACAATGTTAATAACATCTCTAAGTGTGCCAGGAACGCATTTGCAATGCCGACCGGATGATTACATCGTCGACGATTCAAAGTATGTGCCGAGCTAATGTGTTCAATTAAATGTATTTTGAATAGAATAATCATTTGTTTCTTATACATGTGACCTTCAATATTTTGAGATTATAAATGTTTTAATTTTATAACATTTATTTTATTTTTTTATTTTTGAAAAAAAAAACAGTTTACCAATCGGCGAATCAGTACTATTGCGCGTATCACGAGCATACACAATTTGGAGTGGACTGGGCATGTCAATACAAGGTGTTCGCACATGTGGTGATTACATGTTTAGTGGCCACACCGTAGCATTAACAATATTAAACTTTTTCATCACCGAATGTAAGCAAAGTGTCTAATTATCGCATGGAAACAGCAACGTGTTAATGATTTCACTTTTTGTTCTCCTTTCTATCATAGATACACCGCGTCATTTGTACTTTTTGCATACGATGACTTGGCTTCTGAACATGTTTGGTATATTCTTCATTTTGGCCGCACACGAACACTATTCTATTGATGTATTTGTCGCATTTTATATTACATCAAGACTGTTCTTATATTACCATACGCTTGCCAATAATCAGGTGAGTTAGCTTCTAAATGAATGCTATACACTATAAGTACCTGAAAATTTAAACGGATTTTCAATATATTTCTTCACGTCAAATCGCAGGCATTAACATCGCATGACTCAACGCGCACACGAATATGGTTTCCAATGTTCAGTTATTTTGAAAACTCCGTTGATGGAATCATTCCAAATGAATACAGTTCATTGGAGGACATTTGTTCGGATCTCTATGGCTGCATAACAAGTACACGTGATAGTTGCATGTTGACAGCACGACGTTTTTGGTTGGCCAATCAACAGCTTGTACCGCAAGAAATCTCAAAAAAGATTTTTACATTCAGTTTTAGCAGAGATGGTTTGACCGAACCGATGATTGCGAAATCGGGAGCAACAACAAAAACAACCACATCAACACCAGCACAAAATCAAGATAACGGTGGCCATTTATTAAATGATATTAAATCAAATGATTCAACTTCCTATAATTTCAACAATTCGCAATCGACCAAAAAACAAATTTAATTCATCAACATTATTTTGTTCAAGTAAATAATTATACTGTTTTCTATTGTTATTAAAAAAAAACTTCATAAACGTTTTTCCATTTACAAAAAATTGTTAAGTTGTGTTTTCACATTTCTTTACTACTCTATCAGGTGGGGAAAAAAGAAGAAAACAAATATTTATCACGAACGAATCACAACATGCTTACATAAATTTATGTGATCGTTATTTAGAATTGATTCAATCAAATCGTTTAGCAGCTTCTTGTTATTCATTCATGGCTATATTTGCAAATAATACGAAAATTATTTTACTGAGTCGGGTGTTTTTTGTTAAATATTAAAAGAAAATTAAATAGAAAAAAATTAAACTAAATTGTTGCCACACTCGCCAGGGTCATTGACATTGTTATTAATTAATTGTTTTTTTTTTTTAATTTCATGAAATGCTATCAAAAATGCCAAAAATTAAATTCATTTAATATAATCATATTTTTATAAGCCATTCAAAATATTCTACCGTACTCCACCGTTGGCTCTCAAAATGTGTCTTTAATGCTCTTCACTTGAATAAAATAAGAAAGCACTAATTTTTATGAGACCTGATGATCACATGAGTTAAGGTATTCAAAATGTGACGAAAAAAAGAATATATCAGATATGTCAATGAGACATGTAATTGTTTTCATCTTATTGAGGTATTTACTTACCATTTTATGTCTTTTATCATTAATATTTCTAGATTGGTTTCTGTATATAAGAAAAAGTAGAAATAATACAGTATAAATCAAATAATTTTTATACTTTTTATTTATTTAATTCATCGGTAGAAATAAAAGCAATGGTTCAAAAAAGAAATTTTTTCCATCATCAGTGTAATCCAGAGTCTTCAATTTGTTGAAAAATAATTAAAACAAAAAAAGGAAACACAATGACAGTAGAAAAAATGTTTTAACGAATTTTAGCAACAAAACAAACAAACTCAAAAAATCAAATCAAATTTTCTGGAATTCCATTACATGAATTTAATGAGTTTTGTTGAACAAAAATACAATACACACAGAAAATAAAACATAAAAAATACAATATTTTCTTTTTTTTTAAATATACAGATCGGGTGTACAACTAACAAAGTCAATAAATTAAAATCAAAATGTGAATTCTTGAATTACACTGGTTGATTACATTCAATGAATTCATCTTTTTTGGGGAAAGTATTACAATCGAGAAATGAAAAAAAAGCTTTTAAATGTACATGTGGAATATAGGACATTTCTACGGCACTATCCAAAGGAATGGTAAGTTTCCTTAAATTGCAACGATAATACTATATCGTATTGGTGCCAATTCTCTTTAAAATCAAATACGGCCACAGTTGTGTTTATTTTTGAATTTGCTTTCACACATTAAGTATCGATACTTGTTACAGAACAGAAAATTTATAATTATAATTGCATGGACTATTAAATCGGATTTTACATGCACAGTTAGAATGTAATGGCGTAAAAATCTGGCTTTATTTTTTTATAAGGTTAAAATTGTCTCTGACTTATTCATTTAAACTTTTATTTTTTTGCATTTTTGTGTCCTTATTTTCATGCTGATTTTTCACAAATAGATTGTTTTTTTTTTGTTGTCGATTTCAAATTTTGGGAAAAGGGGGTGAAATTGTTTTCTTTCTTATATTCAAAACGTGAATGTGTAAGTTTTTCGTTTGATTTATACTTAAAGTTTATACATGCTTTTCTCTTCTACTTCCTTCTAAGCAATCTTCACAATGAATAGGAATCAAAGAAAAAATCTCAAAAACGCTTAATTTTAAGTTTTCTCTCTCTCTCTCTCTCTCTCTCTCTCTTTCTTTAAATGTAAATTTTTCTAACCTTCTTATATATAGATGATAATTTAATTTCTGTTCTTGTCGTTCTTTTTGTGCCTTTGCTGCTTTTGATAATGCATATTGTGAATTTGAAATATGTATTTAATAAAATGTTTCGTGCCAATTTGAATTTCGTTGGATGTGTGTATCCTATTTCTGGTATAAATTAATAAAAAGTATGATACCACTCAAATGATACAATTATGGTGATGAATACACGGATATGAGATTTTAAATTTCTGAAGAATATATATTTCGACCGAGATTTTTTTTCTCTCGTTCTCTCTCTCTCCCTCTCTCTTTGTCTAGGTGCTGTTTGTGTGCTCTTCTTCTTTATTGAGATGAACTGAATTGTATCGAATTATGGGTAAAAATCGTTGCCTCCAAAAAGGGCATGATTCTTAAGCCATTTGTCTATTGAATTCGTGAATTGTGTTTTGTTTAAGTGTGTGTGTGTGCAAATCATTAGCAAGCATTAGATCAAAGTTGATATAAAAAAGAGTTTTTAATACAATATTACGCAATTTGAGTCTTGAAGATCCATGCACATTTCATGTAATGTAGAGTTAAAAATGTTTTCAAAATGAGCAACGGTTCAACCGTTGGAAAGAGTGTATGTGCTTTTGTTTTTCTCTTGGCAATTATAATTACGAAAATCTTAGTTTACTTCGGTAACCGTGTACACTAATGTCGGTTGTTGGACCGCTTCTTGTACATGTTGCTGTTGTTGCTGTACTTGTTGGGCCTGTTGTTTTTGCTCGTGAGACCTTTGAAAAAGAAATCATAGACAAACAGTCAGCAAAAAATGATTTAAACAAAAAATACACTGTATAACTTACTTTTTGTGTTTGTTCAAATTGTCCTTTCGTGAAAATAATTTATGGCAAATATCACAATCGAACTGCTTTTTGCCGGTGTGTGATACACAATGTCGCATCAAATGCTCCTTTCGGCTGAATGCCTTATTACAATTTGGCTCTTCGCATTTGAATGGTCGCAAGCCCAAATGCAATTTCACATGCTGTGCCAAATGCTCTTTCCGTTTGAACACTTTCTCACACACATCACATGTTGGAACATCCGTTTTGGCTGTTGTACCACTACCTGATGTTGTATTCGTATTTTGTGTGGTTGTGACAGTCGTTGTATTCGAATCGAATGTTTCACTTTTAATGATGGTCACTTTATTCTTTGCTGTCACCACCTGAAAATGACCAGAAAAAATGTAAATTACAAAAGGAATTTTGTTAATAGAAGAATTTGATAGAACAACATATTTTCGTTCACTAAATAAGAGATGCGATTACTACCGTCGCTTTTGTCATTGGTTTTCGAACGACTGCTGTCTTCGGTTGTGCATTGGAGTTTGTATTGGTTATTGATGTCGTTGTATTTGATAATGTTGGCAGCTTGAACACTTGTGGCTTTGTCGCAACGACATTCGTTTTTGTTTCAGTTTTATCGGGCGATTGCTCGACTTTAATCCTTTGGAACGTAATTGCCGATGTTTCTGGTAATGGTAATGTGATATTTGGTGCAGCTACATTTTGCAATGTTGTAAATTGAACTTTGCCATCTTGCACTGCATTCAATTGTTCCTGTGTATGTACGAGAATATTATTATTATTATTATTATTTTGCGAAACTAACACACTCAAAATTTGTACGAAAAATTTAATATAGCATAGTGTTAGACAAAAATAAAAGTGTTTACAAACCTGTGTTATAGTGATATTTTGACCACCAGCGAAAATAGTACGAGTTTCCGGAACGATGGTCGCGTGTTGAATGTGCTCGTTCGAATGTTGTTGAGTTTGAACATATTGCGGTTGTGCCAATGAAATTGATGTCGGCAGATTGCCGGCTGATGTGAGTTGCACCACTTGTTGTCCATCGACCGTTGTTATTTGCTGTGGATCGACTTTCATTTGTAAATAGGTGCCGGGTAAAACAAGGTTTTTTGTGTCAATTTGTGCCATTATCTGTTGATCATTATTGCTGCCGTCTTTCAATGTAATTGGTAAAAAGCATTTATTGCCTGATGATAAAAATTTCAGATCTTGTAATGTAATCGCTTGCGATTTACTAGCTGTGTTGGCTACGGTAATTGTATTAGCCGCTGATATACCAGTTACTATATATATGTAGTGAATATAAAAAAAGTTCATCAATAATTTTATGTCAATTTTTTTTTCTATTTTCACCAAATTGGTAGATTAATATTAAAAGTTTAAAAGTACGTACCTGTGTTTGTTTGAATGGTTTTTGGTTGTTGATGCTGTTGTTGTTGTACCGGCGAACTGGCCAACACCAAATTTATCTTCGGCTTTTTATTCGGTGAGGTCTCTAGAATTTTAACGGTCGGTTCTTTGCGCTTTAAAACTTGTGTCACTTTAGCATTTGATGGTTTGAGTTTTAAAAACTCATTTACTTGCGAGTACGTGCTGTTGCTAAAAATAAATTTAAAAAAAATACATTATGATTTTGTATAAATAATTTAGAAATAAATATTTTACCTGATCGTTTGTTGAGTTGGTGTTGATTGTGCTTGCTGTATGAATTGTTGGTCTTGAATTGTAATTGCACCCGTTGGTTCGATTTTATAATGGATTTGATTTGGTTTCAGTGTCTTTCCATCCAGTGTAATTGTGTATTGTTGAACTGGTTGTTGTTGTTGCTGCTGCTGTTGTTGCACCGGTTGAATGTTGTTGATGATTTGCGGTTCATTTGACTCATCGACATTCTATTTTTTTTTTTTTTTTGGAAAAAGTACACAAATTGAATTTTTGAACAAAAACCATTTTGTCACATATTGAAAGAAACAAACCTGAATGCCAACCGCTTGAATAATACTACTTAAGAAATCGGTAGAGTTTTTTGAATTTTGTACTGGAGTTTTTGTGAGCGTTGTATGGCCAATGGTGATGGGGGTATTTGAGATGGTTTTCAGTAATGGTGGTGATTTTGGTGACACATCCTTGATATAAACCTAAGGTAAATTAATATTTTCGTTTCTTGGCAAGCGCAATAGCAATAATTTACAAATGATTTTAAAACCAACAAAGAAAACCAAAAAAAGCCAACAAAAAAATCCTAAACAACAAAACCAAATAAAAATGTATCACAAATACAAACCTTTCCACCGTTCCGCAATTTGCTTGAGGTCAAACAGCTTTCGAGCATTGATTGGGCATTAATGCATGTCTGTCGGAATTTGACGATCGTTTCTACTTGAATTAGACACGACGAGCACACAATTTTCGGCAATTTATCCGTTTCACTGACCTGATTGATGAATGAAACAAAACAGGGAAACATAAGACACGCATTTCGTGGATAAATTACAACATAGTTTGTCTACAATGCAAATACTTACAACAATCGGCAGACAACCCGCTATTTTTTCATATAAATTTTTCTTTCTCCCTTCTTCGGAGAAGATGTGAACTTTTTTTGTGCCATTACTTGCCGTGCATAAACGACATAGTTCATAATAATCTACACATTTATAGCCAGACATTTTTTTCGACTCTTTTGTTTGATAATTATTTCGTGGTATTTTTGGAGAATTTACTTCTTCACAATCAAGACAATTCTCGCATTTAAAAAGTGTCTATATAAAGCATTTCAATCAAAAGAATCATTACAGTTCGTTTGATTTACTCGGTTCTTTTAGTTGTTGTTATTGTGTGTGTGTGTTTTTTTTTCTCGTTCGTTTAAGTTTGTGATGATGGTGATGATGCCATGGTCAATAAATAAAATTAAGTCATATTACGCACAATAAACGGTATAACGGCAAGGTGGCAAAAGAAAACAATTTTAAATAATAGAGATGCAAAACAAAAAAAGGCTTGAACGATAGTGCATATATGTATATATTTATATTTTTTGAGGTTATGTGTACGCGTTACACTAAATAACAGAAAGATTATATATACCCCTCCGTATGTACCAACGGAGTTTTGCCTCATAGATTTTTTTTGACTGATGTTGATGCTTGCGAATGGTCCTTCGCGGTAGTTACTTGTCCAATCAAATTTGTTATTGTACACAGTAAACAACACTTTTCATTTCTCCTTAGTATGTAAAACTAATTTAAATTTTCGCAATGTTGTTATTTTTTTTCTTCTTAAGCGTGTGTTTTATATGCAAAACCATATTCATATTCGATTAAATTTTAAATCACCGACTAGTCTTTTTTTCACAATTTTTTGCTTTTTAGATATTTTAAGCAGAAATTTACATTTACAATTAGATTTAATTCTTTTTTGCGCAATAAAAATACTAAACTCTTTAAAAGTGTACACACAATGTTTATGGCCGATATACAATTGCAATTCAAACACAATGTTTTCCTGCATACAGCATTTTCATCTTACACAAAAAATTCAGTTCACAACAAACAAAATGCAATGTATTTATTTTCTAGTCTACTTCATTATTATTTTGATGCGCGTTGCAAAATTTCCCGATTAGTTTTTATTTAGAAGATATACACATAAACAAAATTATGCAATTTACGCTCGTTTTTTTTTTTTGTGGTGCGACGCTTCGATTCATCTAAACAATATCATTTGACAGTCGTTTTTAAGGTATCGAGATTTCGAGATGTTCGATACATTGGCTTGGCGCTCATGTTTGTGTGTTCAATGATGCACACATACATGCATACATGACCAGAACGTATGCGCAGTAGGATGTGTGCTTTGCTTCGTGTTTTTCTGTTTTCGAGTGTGCGTTCCGATGATCTATCTGTATGCACAACACATATACTAAACTATTTTGTAGTTGACGACCATAGCGTTGAAACTAGAACGATGTTGCTTCTCCTTATTTCTCTTCTGTATAATTTGTTTTGTCATTTGTTGCCGATTAATGTGAAAATGGATACATAATAAATAAAATTGCAGTAAACAGATCGAACGAATATTTTCGGTGATAGTAGAATGGTTAGCATCGTCGTTCGCTACTGTGGAACGCAACCATCCGTTTACATTCATTTTTCCCGGGTTGTTTTTATTCTTCACTTTATTACATTTTAAATGAAAAATTCATATTTCACTAAAGACATTTTTTAAGTTTTTTATTGCGATCATAAAATCAACTCTCAATTTTCAATGCGAACCGAGAATTTGTTTGATATTCACAAACAGACTCGTTTCATTCATTTCCCCTCTTTGCTGATGGATACATATGAGCTCTGTATAAAACACGTGAATTAGTGTTGGATCATTTGTTGTAAACTGAATCTGTTGTAGAATTCATTGAGATCTTAACTTTGGTGTGTGAAAGAGAGAGAGAGAGAGAGAGAGAGAAAACATCAAAAATTTACTGTAATTCATTGGCAAAAATCACGACTTACAGTTACTAGACATCGACGATAATGCTGCCGTCGCCGATTCAAGAACACATACGAAAATATACAGACGAATTGTACTTCAACAAATGAAGATGAAAAATAACGGAGTACATATATATATATATATATATCGAACGAGCGGAAAACTGTTGCTTATCTTCAAAAACAGCCAAGAGAGCAACAACATTTTTTCAGAGAATTTTTTTTATACATGCCAAAATTAATAAACGCGAATTCCGAGGAAAATTCGTATTTTTGAAATGGGCCTTTGCTAATTGTTAGTCGGAACGATTTTCGAATAGTCGAATCCGGTACGTAGACTCGTGTAGTTGAGTGACGGTATATCAATATCTAAATTTTGAATTGATTTGTTTTTCTTTTGTATCGATTTAATTTTATTCGTCTAGAAATTTTCAATATTTATTCGAATCAATGTTTGCTCATTTTCATGAGTTTTCCAAATAAACTAAAAATTCAAAGAAAAACCACTATTTCTTGTCGGTTAAGTTGAAGTGAGTGAGAGGAGTAAACAAAATAAACGACGTGTGAAAATCCGAATAACTATGATCGTTGTTGATGAAAATGATCCAGTTGGTGGTGCGTATAATGATGTGTTTGTTATTATTATTATTATTTGTTTCAAATAACATCTGAGATTACCACATTTAAACATATAATTCGTTCATATCGAGAAATACTAATTTTAGATTTTGATTTCAAATTCGCATCGATATAGCAGTGTACATATTTTCCTTATTTAAATGAAAAACAAATAAAGAAGAGAGAAGAAAATTCGCTTCTCCGTTTCAACGATGAATAACACATTCACGTAAAGAACACAAATTTAATGGTGCTTGTAATTTATGAATGTAACCGTAAAAATGCCAGCTAATTAGTTTGAATTTTAAATTATTCGGTTTTTGACATGATGCTGATCTCTTTTTCGCATTTAAATGTTTGTGATCGCTTCATGTGCGCGCAAACCGATTTCAATTCTCCACCAAAAAAAAACCGCTGCTCTGGCCAAGAGTCTGTGAGAAAATGCGCGCATTGATTTTGTTTTGTGTGTGTTTCGCATTTGATGAAAAATACGATGATTCCTCGTTTTCGTCATAATTTACGTACAAAAATTTATTTATAATATGTTGAATTGGTGAGTTGAGTGATGTTCAAGATTGAGTTTTCCATTCAAGAATTGTTCATGTGTGTGTGTACGATTATACTTGTGTCCAAGTATCAAACAAATACTATAAAACACATCAATTGTGGAGAAATTTTTGAATGAAAACACACCAAATCACTGTAACCCTTGAGCAAACATAAAAAAAAACTCAACAATTGAAATATCATTTTCGTTTTAAAAGAAAACAAAAACAACCAACAATAAAAAGACAAAGTACAAAAATAAAACGATTTCAAAGACTTAATTTTAGAATTTTATTTACAAGCGCCCGTTGTCGTGTCATAAACATATGTCTTGGACTCGCAATAATCGTCATGAAATTGATTGTTCTTTTTCACAATTTTCTGAGCACTGATTTGTTACTTTTTTTCCTCCGTGTCGCATCGTGTAATGTTATGTCGTTTCTGAATATCCTCAATAAAAATAAATTCACGCGCGTGTAAATGCGACTTCGTCTAATGCCTTCATTTCTGGTGCTTGATAAATGAATGCGAGTTTTTCTCTCTCGCTTCATATAAATTCTTTTATTCTTGGCAATGATTTTCGCTTGAATAACCAACACCGAAATGAAAGATCTATATTCATTTCCGTATACAAAATATCTGGCTGATTGTGTGTTATCAGTTAATTCTAGTATATCTTGCCAATTTCTTCGTTCTGTGCATATTTTTTTTTTCATTTGGTTTGTTTACGAATTTAATTATTGCATCAATGCTGACGACATTTGATTGGCTACAGTGTTGACACTGCGTGATTGCATTACGATAAATTGGAGTCAATCACAGCGGACGGCAGTACGCGCGAGTGACGAAACCACATTAGTGTGTGTTGAAAAGTCTAACTCGCTATATATACACGTAATATACGAAATCCAGACCTAGAAGGCCGTTGACCCCGGTTGATGTATGGTTGGAAAGCCCTTGGGCTATAGATGAAGAAAAAATATAAAAGTTTGAAAATCGGTCCACCTGTCTTCAAAATATGGTCCTTTCAAGAAAAGGGTCAAAAATCAGTTTCATGACTATAGATGGCACTAAATGAGGTCATTGACCTCTGAAACATCGATATTCTTATTCTAGAGCTCAATACCTTTCCAACGATACCTCGAACGTCGAAATCGATTAATCCGTTCGAAAAATTTATTATTTTAAAAATTTCATATGAATTTCTATGAAAAATCAAAATGTCTGTCTGTCCGCGATTTTGCGTACTCGATTCTGATCTTTTTGAAACTTTCTGTGATTAAAGTACATAAAAAACTAAGACTTTTTTGTTCCGGCACTTTTCGATATGGCCGCCATGTTGGCCGTGGCCAGACTCCAAAAGTCACTTTTTGACTTTTGTCCCCACGGTCACCAAGGCACATACACTTGACACACCCCGGACATATGCATATCATTGGAAAGGTCTTGAAGTGAGCGGTCAAAAAATTTCAATGTGGGGTGGCCAAAATGGCCAAAAACCAAAAATTTACCGTTCGGCCGGACACATAATAGCTATTACCTCGAAAACTAGCCTAACTTGGTGTATTGAAAATTTCACCGATTTTAAGTCTAAATCTAAGCTATAAAACGCCGCATAGCTTATATCCCAGAAAATTCTTGTCTTCACGATATGGCCTTTGATAGTGGAATATGGCAAAAAATGGCCAAAAATGAGAATTTTAATATTTGAAATATTTTATGGGCAAAAATGTACTCCAATGACTCTGTAAATATGCTCTGTGACTAGCCAAATAAAATGTAACAAAATATCGACCGTTTTTGATGGCTATTCCACCAAAAATCGGCCAAATGTACCAAAATTCGAATTTTCACAAAAATGTCTAGATGTATGAAATATGAAATTTACAACAAATAACTACATGTTTGATAGTCTCCTCGCATAAGATCGATAAAATACCAAATCTTATGTCCCATCCTACCAGGCCAGAAGGTGGACTATCGTCGGGAGAGGTGCATGCAGTTAGTCACAAAGGAAATTAAAAGAAATCTAGAAAAATGTTAGCATATAATACATATATATAGCAAACTATGCAAAAGTTCATGCAAAAATGGCCATTATTTCATACGGTCGCTGTGGGACCTAGACTTGACATAGCCAGGACATATGCATATTCGTTGGAAAGGTCTTAAAATAAGCTCTCGAGTGGTGCCAATTGCGACTTAAAAATTTCATGTGGTATTAAAAATGTTGGCCAAATTGGCAAAAAACCACAAATTGACCGTTGACCGCACACATAACGGGCATTTTTCGAAAAAGACTGCATATGTTCTCTTGAAAATTTCATCAATTTAAGGCTCAAGTCAAAGATAAAAAAGTATGCATACCACACACCACAGAAAAAACCACTTTTCCCCATTATGAACCACAATTTATATGATGTTGATCCAAAAATAACTAAAAATCCATATTTTCATTGTATTTGAATTCAAATTCATGTTTCTTGAATCTTTAACATTGAAAATAGCGCTTACAAAACTATTGATATCAAATAAAAAACCTCTATCGAGGTGAAGAATGAGTGACGAAACCA